GAAATGTCAACCTTATTATCACTTCTCAAAAAGAAATATCATTTCCAATGTCAACATTAATATGCTCCAAATGTATCAGCTCAAGGGAGGTAATCCATTGTGATCAAATAGTATTTTGCAATATCTTAATTTTTCTTCACATGTACAACAGCTTTTTTCACTTCTACTCTCATTTTCAAAAGAAAATTTCTGCTAGAAAATCTATTTAATTCACTAATCAGTGATCCAGCAAGACTTTAGGAGCTTCAAGTGAATGCTAATTTTCAAATTCCTTTCTGATACATGTATATAGAAATAAGGTGGGCAAATGTCCTGTGACTGGTGACTGGCTGAATCACTGATCTTTGTATCAAAAAACTTTTTTTTCAATAATTATATTTTTGCATTTAATGTTCAGATGGTATGACAGTTAATCACATTTTAATAATTCCTTGCTTCAAAAATATTTTAGAAACACTGATAATTTTAGCTATTTGCCTTAGAAATGAAGCCATCAGTGTGTTTGTTAATCCTATGAGAGCATTCTTAAAAGGTTCAACTTGCAGAGTTCAAATTCAAGCTTTCAACTTAAATATTTTCATTTTTTTTATGGAAAGCATTCATGTTGAATGTCAACTAAAATATGCATAACAATATTCTTCGTTTCTGAAAAAGTCTGATTTCAAACAATTTGTTTTACATTAGAAATTACTATTTTAACAAGCATTCTGCGAGTATTGCATGGCAATACATAGTCCCCTACCAGGTAAAAATTCATTATACTGGAACAAAAAGCTAACTTGTTCTATAACTTGTCATGGTGTAAACAAAAAGAAAATATCAAGTCAATATCTTCAAGCATGACTAAAAACAATGTGGAAAACTGATTAAATGAGTGAATTTTTCAAGTCCAAGGACCATAACTCTGCACACAATTATCAGACCGAAACAAAATTTCAAACTTGATCTGTATAACTTGTCATGATAAAACTATAAACCAATTATCAATCAATATCTTCAAGCATGATGAAAAAAAGTGTGGAAAACACTTTAACTTTAGATATGATGTAATACAGTGTATATCTATTTTCAAATTATAATCAATAGTTCCAAATATTTTTTCTTTTATTTGTCACAAAATAATATAGATTTGTAACTTATCTATAAAATGTCAACAATTTTTATCTACACAATGTAATGTAATATATACATTAATAAAAATAGATTATTATCTAATTAAAGGATTTCACTTCATAATTTTTTTTTATATATATATATATATAGCATTCAGAAAATTAGTTTATACAAAATAACAAACACACCTGCCCAAAAATTCTTCAAATAATTTACCAAAGAATGTCTTTTAAAAAATTAGTTATCTCCCTTTGTACAGAAATATGGTTTAACATAGTACTCTAACATTAGATATGGTCCAGAGTTATGATCCATAACTCTGAACTAAATCATCAGACCGGAACAAAATTCGAACTTGATCTATAACTTGTCATGGCAAAACTATATACCAAATATCAAATCAATATCTTCAAGAACGAAGAAAAAAAGTGTGGAAAGCTGATTTACCGGACTGACGGATAGACAGACGGACGGACAGAGTGCAAACCTAAAGTCCCCTTCGACTTCGTCGGTAGGGGACTAATAATCTTTATGTCACTTCATGAGAGCATAATTGTTTCCCTGACATGCTGAGCTATGGACATTGTAATTATTCAGCAGGCTTATACATAGCTCTGCCTTACAACAAATTCTAATATAATTTACACGATTTAAAAGTCACTCAAAGATACATGAAATGACTTATTCAATAAAGATATATACACTGTGGAAAGATTATTATTATCAAGGATCCGGAAATTTTTCCAGACAATTTCGGTCATTTTGAGATGTTTGAAAAGTTGGTGCCCCTTTTCAAATTGTTGATATCCAGTGTTCTCCCCAGGATTTTTTTAAGACGCAAAATTCAAGGGCGCGTAACTCTTTTTTTAGAGTGAACGTTTGTGATCTGAAGCAATAAGTCATAAATTATGACATGCAATATGAATTATAATGCTTTGTGTTATGTGTTTAATAATGCAGAGTATTAATGAATTACAAGGATATATATATGAAATAAATTGATTTTAAACACAAAAGTTATTTATATTCAGTCAATTAAAGAAGTCAAAATATAAATATTCATCTCTACTCTCTGCTCCTTCTAGGGATATTGTTTCAAGATAGTGTTATTTTGTTGGACAGTCTGTTCCTTAACTTTGTCTTTATCCTCTTCAGGGTTAAAAATTAAACCCCCACTCACAATAACTTTTGCTTATACCCCCTTTAACATTTCTAAGCCATGAAAACTCAGTCATGCAGCCACTTGTCATTGAAACCAGAAACATGGTGCTTGCTTTTATCAATTGCTAAAACTTGAGCTTGGTTGGGATTAGGAGAAGCAATGAAATCTGCTTATACTGACAGTGTAGACAGAGGTGTATTCCCCTTTTCATTAGAAGTCATTGGTGTGAAAAAAACGTCTACTTCCATCATCTACCTTTTGCTTATAATTCACCCCTTTGTTATTTGCAGAGAACATGTTCATTCAGAATTAATAAAATCGAATATGGTTAAGATATTTGGTATACAACTTTTTAAAACTATTTTTTTTATAAATGAACAGCTGACCAGTTTCCGTAGTTTCACATTACGCTTCCGTGCGTATTATTGTTTAATCCTATCTTTGGCAGATAGATATAAACGAAACTTTACAAATTCGTTAAAGTTAAAACCATTGAAATTATTTACCAGTGACATTATACAGAAGCTGCGGCGATTCTGTACCCGTGTTGATTGTCACATATTTCCTGACGCACGGATTCACGATCGATGTTCAGATGATCATTTTATTTCTAAAAATATGACAGTTTCAGACGAATTTACCTTGCAAGCAACATTTTTTCACTTTCTATTAAAGTAAAACACTCCTCGTTATCTTTAATCAAACTTTATTTTAATTTTTTCAACTTCTAATACTTTCATTCATAGTTTTCATCGTAAATATCTTTAGCAATGTGTATTCAAATTTATCATGTGTATTCAACACGTTCATTGGTCATGTTTAAATAGATTCTTCTTCTCGACCAATGAAAAAATTCGTTATATAAATGGTCAAGTGATCACACACACGAAGCGTAAATACAATGTATTTGCGATCTATTTCTTCAATTTCTGCACTGAAGTTTTTAAAATTTTTAATTTTCTTCAAAAAATATCTATCTTCTTGATGATCATTTACGCTATTACCTGATAATATAGTACGATAAGGCTGAGATAAGCGTGGCTCAGGTAAAACTTATTATCAGTTATTGCGTAACACTGACCGACCCATCAGCGGTGATCAGTAACTTGACAATTTTAACCAACATTTATAATGAAAATGTGAAAATTAACACGCTGCGGGATCTAGTATTAAGGGACAGCGGCCAATTAAGACGCTGCGGGATCTACAAAAATATTAAGAAGGCGCTGCGGCACCGCAGCGTCATATCGGCCTGGGGAGAACACTGATATCAACTTGACTATATTCATAGCATCAACGAACATGACGAACTTGTATTGCTGTTTCATCGCATTTACTAAGTACATGTCTTACCATTACCATGAAGGACAGTTTAGGGAAGGCAACAGTCTAAAATTGAAATGATTTTAATGACTCAAAATGGTTAATTTCTCAGACATAGCTTACTTTTCTTTCGATTTGACAAAAGTTAAAATCGGAAGTTTCCGATATTTTAAAGTACGAATAATTCCGGATTCATTTCGGGGATTTGTTTTGTTTATCAAATTGACAGGAAATCACCCGCTTTTTATGGCTTTTTTATTTTATTACCTTTAAAAGTGATTGAATATAACAGATAATAGTTGCACTCGTTTAATTTAGCATGAAATCAATTTGCATTTTAAGATTAAATATTAAATTTGCTGAAGACAATTTCACGCATGCGTATTACATAGTAAATAAAGCACATGTGTTACTCATGAAAAAATACTTTTTTCTACGTAAATTTAGATTTAATTTTTAAATCAGAATTGATGACTGTCTTTGATGAAAAGTAAATAAATAATGATTACACTTGTCAGGGAACTAATGTTTTAAAGATATTATTCTGAGCTTGTGATCACTGTCAGGTGTGAATTAAAACCAGAGGTAAAAAGTGATTAGCGATCATTAGCCAATGTTTCCCGGAGGCATTGATATAGATATTAGGAAGGCCCTCAGGATTATCAAACTACTGTAGTGGCAGTTTTATTACAGGAAAGGGGTTATAAACAAAAGCAAGCGATCACAAGTGCAAAATGGCAATTAAAAATCCGATTTCAAACATTGAGTCAATGAAATGACCTAAATTACTTCTGTAAAAAAATAAAATTTGTCCTAAATACCAATTACTCGTTTAGGACAAATAGTTTCATCTTAGGACATGACTGGCAAATATGACCGTTTCCGGACCCTTGATTATTATCATTGATCTTGCCGTATTTTCTATTTTTCTTAATAATTGTGTGTTGTTTTAGTGAAAAGACAAGCTAAAAGACTTAGACAAGCTGTACTGACAGTCATTCGAGATTATAAAAGGTATATGTAACAGGCCTCTGACAAGGATGTCTCAGAATGACACTCTAACTTTCATTGATCACCTATTGTAAATGTAAAATTGGACAGCTTACCAGTATATGTCTGCATGAAATGAAGGGTGTTGTTTCAAATGTCATAAAATTTCATAATGCCTTGAAGCATATAATTCATATAACCATGAATGAGTCTATTTAAAATCCAGGGGTTTCAATATTTTTTATGTTGACAGGTACTTTATGTATTCTATGAATACCTTAATATATGAAAATACCTTAATTCAGGAAGTACTTATCTTTTGTTTAGATGGGTAAAAGTATCAGGTAACTTCTTTTAGAATAAGGCCAGAAAATCATAATGGCTTTCTAACCATTCACAACAAGAAACATACCGAGATCTTTGCCAAATCCTGACTGCTTAAATCCACCAAATGGTGCTGCAACATCTGTCTTGTTGTAAGTGTTAACAAATACTGTTCCAGCGTCTATTTGGTCTGCTACATACATAGCTTTATTTATATCCTTTGTAAATACACCAGATGCTAGTCCATATTCTGTGTTGTTGGCACGTTTAATAACACCATCTACGTCACTGAAAAATAATTAATAATCTTAATTATAGTTTTATCATTGATTTTTTTACCAAAAGAATTTTTTAAGAAATTGCTGCATGTATTTGTTATTTCACAGTGTGAACACTTTAAAAAAAAAAAAAAAATCTTTTCGTCATGTTAAAACGCATGAAATGATTCAACAATAGTTCTAAAATTGTGTTAATTGTATAAGAAAGAATCTCATCAAACTCAAGCTTCAAAACAACATGTGGAAAATATCAACTTTGTATGAACAAAGTTCTGTATCACTTTTAATGACAAAAATGAAAATCTTCAAAATTTAATGTTTTCAGTCATTACTTTTAAAATAATCTAAAAAATAATTTTGAGATCAACCATAGCAATCTTTTAAGCAGGTAATCATTGGAACTAAATGTAAAAAGGGGAGGCACAAATTACAACACAATATATCTGTTGCTATGTCAATTTTTTTTCAGTGTGTACTTTTTGCATGAATTTTGTAGTGTTCTTGTTTGTTAGTTGAACCATGAAATTATTGTCAGAACTTGTCAATGTAGAAAGAAAGTTGTCAAAAGGTTTTTTAGTCATCCTGTTGTTACCTGTTCAATAATTTGATTGGCTTATAACCACACCTATGTACACTGTTATGTGCATACAAAAGTTCTCCATAAATCTTAATGGTAGAGGGGTGTCACTCTTTATAAGTCCGTTTGTATCGAATCGTCTAATCAGTACTAACCCATCTTGGAATTTAGAGATAATCATAACTGGTCCAAATGATTCTTCATCAGCAATAAACATGTGGTCCTCTACATCTGTAAACACTGTTGGTTCCATAAACAGTCCTAGAAATAATAAAATAAAAGAATTAAAAGATGAAAGCAATGAGGTTATTGAATATAGTAAAGGAACAGAAGACTCATGAAACATTGCAGCTGAACAATTAATGCTGCCTTTATATAGATTCCTGTAACATTTAGACAAAAATACAAAGTAAGAATTATTACTCTCTCACAGCGGTCGAAAGTCTTGTTTTGTCTATCTACTAGGGATGTCAACGAGTACTCTAGTATTCGAGTATCGCTCAGTAGTACAGAGTATCGACTACCAAAACGATACTCGACTAATCGGTTAGAATATTGCTGTTTTCTTTATATAAAATTGATCTTCTTGAGATCCTCTTTCGGAAAATTAAATAGGCATCACTGATTAATCATACTAGTAAATAAAATACATTTTGTTTCGAATGCTTGTGCTAAATTGTCATTTAAAATGCCTCCGAAAATACGTGGGCTATACGTATGCTTTAAATTAAACATGTCTTAGTCATTCCCTAACATCGGTACCGACAGAGCAAACATTTTCGTCTGCAAGACTGTAATTTACAAAGTTGCAAAACCGACTGTCCCCAATAATAGTTGACAAGAAAATGTCTCAAAATAAAATAAATTTGTTGCATCCTCTGATGACCCTCAGTGAATAGTTAAACTTCTAATCATTGTGCCTTTGTAAACAGTAAATGTGTTTTCTTAATGATTACAAAATACTATTGTTTGATAAGGTTTTTCCTTGTTATAAATTTTAAATAGGTGTTCATTAAATTATGTTGATTAGATTATTGTTTTTACTTAATTAGTACTTGTAGGTAACGACCTATTAATTACGGTGTGTAATTCCTTCTCCCAGATACTTATGTAGATGTTTTTGGTCCGTTGAACAACAAACCATAGAATATAAAAGTACGTATTTTTGTGTTTCCGTGTGGTAGATATATTTCCGAGCGAGTACTTGAGTATCTCTCGATAAAACCAACAAATACTCGATTAGTAATTGTTCATCGAGTTGACATCACTAACTATCTACATATAATTTTCACTCATCTAATAAAAAAAATTTCATAACACCTCAATATTGTGCTATGTATAATTTATAAATATGGCACAGGGAGCCATTAGAATCTGATCTGGAGAAGAATCAAAATGAGATTTAAAACATCAATCTTCCTTACTGTGTTAACAACAACTTTTAAAACACTATGTGCTAATTCAAAAGTTGTTTTAATGGTATTAAAATGAAATATAACAATTCTGCTATGTTTGAAACGCTTTTCCAGATTAACCTTCATAGCAAATATCAGAGCAATAAGTTTGGAAGATTTTATGGTAAGCAATGTATTCAAAAGGTCATAAAAGGAATAGACAAAATTGTCTAAGGTCTTTTTTATCTGCAGGAACCCTTGTTTTTTTTTTTTTTATAATGCTTATAGGTAGTATGACAATGTCACCCTAAAGTAACAAGGAATTTCTCAAATAAAAGATATCTTACCGGTAAATAAATTATTCTATGGAATCCTTTTAAAGTTTTCCTACCTTTCATATCACATTGTTTTCCTCCATACACCAGTGTGGCACCTTCTTTCACACCAGTATCACAGTATTCTAATAGTTTCTCTAAATGGGCTCTATGATTCTGTGGTCCATGGTCTACTGATCGGTCCAATGGATTACCAATCTTCATTTTCTTTATTTCTGCAACCTAAAGTAAATAAAAAATAGATTTTATTTTTTAAAATTTTCTCTGGTTTTTTATATGTTTGAATTTGACTTCATAATTTTTAAATTTTATTTTGAATTATTCCCTTATGGTGGAGTCATAGCATTAGAAAATATTGCCCAGTAACACCCAGTTTCTTTTCATAATTTTATTAAACACATCTTGACTAAATCCCTGTCTTCATATCTTTATTCTCATAAAGCCAATGCATAACATCAGTACTGTAACAGAGATAACAACAACAATAACTATTTACAACACAGCAAAAGAGGTTAAAGAAGAGAGCTCCTTTTCCTGCCATTTTTTTCTGTCTGCCTAAATATTTCTTCTTTAGCACATGCCTTTCAATACATAACAACTATAAAGGAACATTGTAAAAACTCACCAACAAAATGTCATAAGGCAAAACATAATGTTAACAATTTCATTGTTATATCCCGCAATGCTGGTAAGTCGTGCACTTAAGGCCATTTTTTATTTTATTTTTCTGTAGACTTAGCTTTGATTTTTTATTACTGTGTATTGTCAAGCTTGGTTACTCATAATTGTTTCTCATTCACTGAATGTATGATGTTGTTCCATACTGCAGCAGCTGACCCGGTTTGTTTACATTCAAATTCTAATGGCTTCAAAACCACGTGACACATTGAATCGTTATATCCAATCAAATTGCTCTACTGTCAATTAGGTGATTTTTTAGTTTAAGGCAATTATATTATTTGTTTGTATGATACTGCTTTAAAATAGTTTGCAATAAATTGGGGGTTTATTCAATAGGAAACCTCATTATTAGCCATGAAATTTGATATCAATGGAATTTTATATGAATATTTACTTATGGTCAGAATATCGATCTCTTTATATTGAACCAATTTTTTTTTTAAAGAAAAATATATGTATATTGTTTTTTATTAACCTATTCTATATTCCTGAACAAAAATATGGCATGATTATCGTTTGTTTCCCAAAGTTTTTCTTTCATTTTGGATGGTTTTTTTTTCGCGGGAAAATCAATTAAGACGTAAGGTACTTGCCATTTTGAAATTCTTAAAAATACGATTTGCTTGGCCTGTTTGGTCTGCCATTAAGATTGATGATGCTTAATGGAATGTAAACAAAGCAATGGAGGCTGGAAGAGGGGATTTCTGAAGTTCTGGAATGTTTTTAGGCATTCGGAAGTCAGGTTTGAAAAGGCCATTAGAAAATTGGCATTTTTGTACAATTCTTTAGAATAACAATGAAAACATATCTTTAGAAATGTTTGTTTATTTAGAAGAGTAGAAAAAATGTATTCTGCACTAATTTTGTACGCTGGTATTAGCGTAGTGACGTCAATGCGGCGTTTTCCCGTGTGATAAGTACAATAACAAAATCCGAACGAACCAACATTATAACCAATTTTAGACTACGGTAGGATAAATATCAATGTTTTATAAAATAAAACTTACACATCTCTCTACATATTCATCATGTATAGACTCCTCTACAAAAAGCCTTCCAGCAGCAATGCAGTTCTCTCCCTTGTTGAAGAAGACTGAACTCAGTCCCTGTAAAAAAAAATCTCTAATTATAGCTATTCTTTGTAAAATTTATATTTCTTTATTTATTCTATGGACTATATCTATATATATACAAAAGCTTCTGCATTTCTGCATAAAAACTGGAAAAAACAATATGTAATTTTTTATATTTGGGTTAAAGTTGATTACCAAAGTTAATCAGACATAAAATCAATTTATTAAGATAAAAGTACTTGTGACATGGTTGATATTTTGTACTTACCATTCTAACAGCCTTGTCCATATCACAGTCACTAAAGATAATCAGAGGAGATTTACCACCAAGTTCTAAGGACACTTTCTTTAAATTCACCTTGGAACAGCTGAAATGAAATATTTATTAACCTTCTTTAATACCTTTTCTAAATTCTTCCATATATACAAAGATTTGGTTTGGAAGTTTGGTTCTACCTGTAGAAAACTTATTTCAAATGGGATAGCACATCTTAATTTTTAAGGAGGTGTTGTTTACCAAACCTGGAAATTAAGATACGATCGCGGTAAACTTGTCAATCCTTTAAATAAACTTATTCTAAAAGGTTACCAATTCAACACAGTAATTAGATCTTTAAGTATTTATTGGTATAAATATTGATTTTGTTATCAGTAAATTAAAACCAAAATTAAAACCAAACTAAAATTATAGTTATATATATATACATATAAAATTGAGAATGGAAATGGGGAATGTGTCAAAGAAACAACAACCCGACCATAGAACAGACAACAGCAGAAGGCCACCAACAGGTCTTCAATGCAGCGAGAAATTCCCGCACCCAGAGGCGTCCTTCAGCTGGCCCCTAAACAAATATATATACTAGTTCAGTGATAATGAACGCCATACTAAACTCCAAATTGTACACAAGAAACTAAAATTAAAAATAATACAAGACTAACAAAGGCTAGAGGCTCCTGACTTGGGACAGGCGCAAAAATGTGGCGGGGTTAAACATGTTTATGAGATCTCAACCCTCCCCCTATACCTCTAGCCAATGTAGAAAAGTAAACGCATAACAATACGCACATTAAAATTCAGTTCAAGAGAAGTCCGAGTCTGATGTCAGAAGATGTAACCAAAGGAAATAAACAAAATGACAATAATACATAAATAACAACAGACTACTAGCAGTTAACTGACATGCCAGCTCCAGACTTCAATTAAACTGATTGAAAGATTATGTCTTCATCATATGAATATCAGGCACAATCCTTCCCGTTAGGGGTTTAGTATCATACCATCATAACATATATGAGAAGAACATAACCCGTGTCATGCCAACAACTGGTTTTTATATAAATGTGTTTAGTGCCGATGCAAAGACCCTATAAGTGAATCAATATTAACGCCAAAATATGCAATCTTTAATGACCTGACAACAGTATCGTAACTATATCCCTTCTTAATAAGTCTATTTAAAGGTTTTGTTAGCTTCAGAGGTGAATACTGACATTTTTGTGCTTTATAAAGAATATTTCCATAAAAAATTGGATGTTAAATACCTGAACGTATAAGAAGTCTGCATGTTGAGCTATATTTACGAATGATGTCCTTATACCGTTGATAAAATTTAGTAAATGTTTTGACTAGTTTGTGATATCGAAAACCCTGGTGTAATAATTTTTCAGTAATACATAAATTTCTCTCATTAAAATCTAAAACATTGTTACATACACGAGCGAATCGTACAAGTTGAGATATATAAACACCGTAAGATGGTGACAAGGGAACGTCACCATCTAAAAATGGATAATTAACGATAGGAAATGAAAAATCATCTCTTTTATCATATATTTTAGTATTAAGCTTTCCATTAATGATATAGATATCAAGATCGAGGAAAGGGCAGTCATTGTTAGTATTAGCTTTATTTAAAGTAAATTTAACAGGATAAATTTCTTTAGTATACATACTGAAGTCGTCATTATTGAGAGCCAAAATATCATCCAAATATCTAAAAGTATTATTAAATTTGTGTATCAGATGTTGTTTCGATGGGTCTTTGCTGATTTTTGTCATAAATTGTAACTCATAGCAATACAAAAAAAGGTCCGCAATAAGTGGTGCACAGTTAGTCCCCATTGGAATTCCGATAACTGATGATATACGGAATCTCCAAAGCGAACAAAAATGTTATCTAGTAAAAAAACAAGGGCATATATAGTATCAAAGCATGTCCAATTGACATAGTTTTTTTTGTTTATTGCTACTAAAAAATGACCTAAAAGAGTTTGAACATATATATTCACATTCTGACTTTTTAAATGCCCATTTAATTAGGTGTGTGAATTTTTTCTTAATGAGAATGTGAGGCAATGTGGTATATAGGGTAGAAAAATCAAAACTTTGAACAGATTCAAAATCACCAATATATGCATGTAATTTATCAAGTACTTCCAACGAGTTCTTGACACTCAAAAGGTAATTAATTCCACTATTTTCGAAGGCCTTATTTGAACAATTTATTATCAGGTTTTTGATTGTACCAAGTGTACTGGTAAGAAGAATAGACAATTTAGTAGTGGAACAATGGCTTGAAGACGAAATGAATCTATATTTGTAAGGTGTTTTGTGTAGCTTTGGAAGCCAATACATAGTTAGGACTTTCATTGTATTTGGTTCTGCTTGTAAAGCGGTAGCTAAAAGTTTATGTTTGTTACAGATGTCGTTTTCTGAAAATGGAGTCAGTTGGAATGTTGGTGAATTGGTGATTTCTTTTTTCAGAACCTCAATGTAAAATTTACGTCAAACAATAATAATATAATATGCACATTCACGGTTCTATAATCTGTAGATACATGTATTTTGCCATTGTACAAGGTCATGTTTTTCTCTGACTGTGAACGACATCTTTACACTAAATCCATTGGATGTTGGATGTGTACTGATTGATACTTTAGTCTGCGATACATATTTGTTTTTATTAGTTGTTGTTGACTTTGAACTAGCTGTCAGTAACTGTGAGTACTCTCAGATCTGTACTTTGGGTCTTTTTTGTTGTGAGGGATGTCTAAATCCCCTGCCATGTCCGGTCTGTGTTTTTGTTAGTTATTTTTCTGCTTTGTATTGATCTGATGAATCAAGCCCTTTTCAACTGATTTTTATAGTTTGTACATATGTTGTCCTGATACACCACTGTCTCAGGTTAGGGGAATGGTTTGGCACCTGAAAGCATGTCTAACCCCGCTACATTCTGTATGTGCCTGTCCAAAGTCAGGTGCCTGTAATTCAGTGGTTGTCATTTGTTGCTGTATATCATATTTGTTTTTGTTCATTGTTTTGTACATAAATCAGGTCATTAGTTTTCTCGCTTGAATTGTTTTACATTTATCATTTCTGGCCTTTTATAGCTGACTATGTGGTATGGGTTTTGCTCATTGTTGAAAGCCGTACGGTGACCTATAATTGTTAACTTCTATGTCATTTGGTATCTTGTGGAGAGTTGTCTCATTGGCAATCATACCACATCTTCTTATTTTCATATTTATCCTAAAAATACTATTTTTTCATTAAATATTTTATCATGTTTATAGCATCGCACAGCTCAAGTAAAAAATTTCTAATTATAAATGTTATACTACTGAATATTCATGACAAAATGTATCCATTGCAACTGTTCCTTCAATATTGAGAAGATCATAAAAAGTATTTAAAATATAGTTTTATCCAAATCTGACCTTTCGTTTAAACTTTAATAATAATTTTTTATCAAGTAAACCAATAGATGCAGATCCAGTAAATCCTAGTTTTCTGACAGAGCTGACCTATATATGAACTCTGACCTACCTTTCCATGATTGTTTTACCAATAGGTGTAGATCCAGTAAATCCTAGTTTTCTAACATGTGGATGTTCTGACAAGGCTTGACCTATAGATGACCCTGGACCAGGAAGGATATTAATAACACCTGGTGGGAAACCAGCCTTGACAACAAGTTCTGCAAATTTCAAAGCTGTCAATGGGGTAACCTGTAAACAAATCATGTTGATAATGTACACTGAAAAATTTAGATTTAACACAGTATTGTTAATCGAACAAGTTTAATTAATCATCATACTATACATAATTTTAGAAAAAAGAAAATTTCCAATAGAATGAAAGAGAACTTTTTATGCAAGTGTGTTACCATTTCTCTCTTTTTGCAAAGAATATAATGCCAGAACAATAATGACATTTATGAACAAAAATGTGAAATAAAAAACATACACATTACATAAAATAATCTATATATCCTTTATCTATGTAAAGCAGAAATTCATATGCTTTAAATGACCTAAAAAATATAAGCGAAGAAGACCTACCTGAGCTGGTTTGAGCACAACAGTATTACCAGCTGCCAAACATGCTGCCATTTTCCATGCCAACATCATCAATGGGTAATTCCATGGTGTAATAATAGCACATACTCTACAATGAGCAAAATCATATCAATTCTACTAAAAAGCCCTATTGCCCTCTCTGTTTTAAAACCTATTCTTACCCACTAAATACTCATAGCAACCAACTCATAATGTATTTACATTCCATTTAAATTCTTACTGTGACATAGCTTTAATTGGCAGTTTCAAATCTTCACGTTTTGTAGAAAAGCATCCTTTTGTGAGTTTACATGGCTTGTTTTTGGTGAGTTTTCATGGTGTGAAACTTTACATTAAACAAATCACTGTAAAATAAGCTTTTTGTTACTGATTAAAATGGCAGACTTTATAAAGCCATGAAATTTTAAAAATAAAAAATCCCCCCTTCCAAAAAATTGTTTCTCAATATTTCTTTCAGTTCGACAAGAAAAATCAACCCACAATAATGCTTAAAATATGCATCATTGATACTTACCCAAGAGGTTCTTTCTTTGTATATGTTAAATTTTTACTTGGTCTGGCATGGTTAATTGGAATGGTACTTCCCTGTAACAGAATATAGAAGAAAGGATGCACAACCAATAAATAAATTACAAACTTTGTTCAACAAAGAGTACAAAATAATAAGTCTACTGGATCTGCAAAGATAAGCTATACAGAAAATAAAATAACTTAGTGAGCAAGCTGAAATATTCCACAACTCAACATAAATGAAAAGGCAGAAATTTCCTGCAAAAAAACAGTTTGCTATTTCTCAGTTTTCCTAAGACATGATTCAAAGTTTCCTGTCATACTGATAATCAAAATCATCAAAGCTTTGATAACTGTTAACTTCTTTAAAGAATAAATAACTCAGCACCGTGAAGTATAAACAAGCACTGACCTGGATTTTATCACACCATCCAGCAAAGTATCGGAATGTAGTTATAGACATGCCAACATGTGTCTTTAGAGCCAGAGTATAAACAGCACCAGAATCTATACTTTCAATGGTTGCCAATTCTTCTTGATGCTGCTCCATCAAATCAGCTAATCTTAAAATAGAAAATTCCAATGTAATCATATCTTGAATCATTTGTAATATTATCATAATATTATTCACAGCATGTATCACCTGTCAAGAGTTCAAAAATAGATTTCGGTGGGGTTTGTGTTACCAAATTTTGTTTTCTGTGCAGTTGAACTGTTGTTTGTCTGTTTGTCTTTTTTCTTTTTGCCATGGTTTTATCTGTCTAATGATTTATCTATGGTTTTTGATTGCCCCTTGGTAGCTTCTCACTTTTATACCTGAATACTGATACTAGTAAATAATTTTATAACAAATGCATATAATGTAATTTTATTATTTAATTGTGCATTCATAATTTATATGGTTGATGGCTCTGATTCTGACCGATGCTAATATACTAAATATAGATGTACACTGTGATGTTTATTGTTATCAATCATGTCAATCAATTGTAACTGGCTGTATGCCCTTTATGGGCCCTGTAATTTGGGAAATAAAAATATTCTATTCTATACCTAAAGTTAAAAAATGGAAATATATGCGAAACATGATTCCCCTCTCCTTATTGCTACTCTTTATCATCCTTATATCCCCAATCTACCTACTTGTACATAAGTGTTCCACGATCTCTTGCATTCATCTTTCCCCATTCTCCTTCCTCAAAAGCTACCTAAAAGTAGTAAAACATAAACACATTAATTTTATAACTCATCATTCCAAAGGACAAACACAATTCGGTAAATGTTTCCTAGATGATATCATTCTTTACTATAACTTTAAAAAGTATAAGAAAATGTATGCATCAGTAAAGCTGACAGATATTGGAGCAAGATATTATTACAAACAAAAACAATGATAATTCTAATTGTTTGAATTTGATCTAAATTAAGCATTATATTGCAGTTTTAATTGAAAAAAACTTTTTATTCAGAAAATGGAATACAACAATCAGTAAAAAGAATGCATAAGCAGGCTTAAAATAATGTTGAATCTTAAACTTATTCTTTGGATGGGAGATAACTCTATTTACCTTTGCTGCCTCGACAGCCCTGTTAACATCATCAGGGGTTCCTTTAGCTATACTACATATCACCTGTATGAATAAAGGATAGATTATATGAATGGATAACATAATCTTGATCTACATCTTTTTTCATAAATTATTGATGCAAACTGGCAGAAGTACAATAAAACAGCTCTTTTAAGAATTCTATTAATTATTGATAACAAAAATTTAATGAACAATACCACAACAAACTGTAAAAAATATATGTAAACAAAATAAATTATAAATTCAACAAAAATTTTCCAATAAAAACTTACAGATTCATCGCTAGGATTTATTGTATTGAATGTGGCCCCGGAACTGGCATCTACAAATTCATTGTCTATAAACAGTTGTCGTGGGAATGATATATCCATGTCATTCACATGCATCTTTACCTACAATAAAAACATGGAATTTTTATATCATGTGAATCAATCTGATAGAAATAAACAGCTGTGTACACAGTTTGCATACAAAGATCTGACATTGCTTTGTTTTACTTCTGTTCAGTAGACTTTTCAAGAATCTTCAAGTTTTGTTGTAATGATAAACACCTTCAAAAATTTGCAGGCAGAAATTTCAATTGTTGAAAACATAACAAAGAACAAAGATTTGTCAGATACTTGTAAACATGGAGTGAAGAAAGGATCTGTATTTTAATCAGTTGTCAAGTTGAACCATAATAGGTTGTTATACATGATTTCTTTACTACTGGTTAGGGATAAACAAATTTAGCAATGGAAAGTTCTGTTATTAGCAGTAATGCCTAAGCTTAAAACTATTACATTTAAGATATCACCTATAGACAAAGGGAAATAATATTTTCTTTGGAAGACCCAAGAACTACCATGAAATTAATTAACAGTAGTGTTCTTGTTTTGCTTCATACTTGAAATACTAAGTGAACAAATAGTTTCACCTTTATATCTACATGTATATCAAAATTAACAACTTACAGCTTCAAAGACTAGTGGTTCTTTATCATCTATTCCTCTATTTCTTTTGACAAGGCAGTTAGACAGATCTTCAAATGTGGTATTCATGTAAACATCCTCATTCTCTAAAGCAACGCCATTACACTTCTGTTTTATTTCTTCGATCAATCTTTGTAAATGAATCAGAGTTCAATTCAAAACAGTATTTCATACAATTTTTCTCGAAATAAGTAAATTTTAATTCTGCTACACCCCCTCCCCCACAAAATATGTCATTTAAAATAATATTTCAGGTATTATTTAAAATCACCTAAATACTTTGCTAATTTTCAACTTGTTATTGGAGATAAATGATAGTTTAGCAATCATTTACACAAAATTCTTCAAAAATACTTCACTAGTTTTTTTTTGCAACAAAACAATTGTAGTCAGGCAAAGATTTGTTACTTTGACGGCTGTTTTTTATTATAATAATTTAATGGAAGCACTCTGTAAACTATATTTGCCAAAAAAAATTAAATCAATCTCAAAAATTAAAATTTTCTGGGGAAAATATCCCTAGTTTAAATTCTCTTATATCCAATGGTTATTTGAATTTACAAATCGGGAAAACGTCTTAAGCAATTTAAATTTTATTTAAAACTGGAGTTACTTAAAATAAATATTTTAAAATGTATTTCTCAGAAATACCAACCTAACAACATCCATTGATCCTGCTCCTGATTTAAAGAAATCGGTGGTTTCATCTACATCAGTATTCAAAATTCCTTTCCATATATCCTACAAACAGAAATAACATGCAAATCCTTTGATAACTGTGCAATGAAATCATGTTTCTTTATCAACCAATATTCCTGACATAAATTTAAGCTTGAGCTCTTAATCATCAAACTTAACTCAGTACTCGAATTAGGAAATTTGTGCTCAAAACACAAATCCAGTATTTTAAGTGGTTGATTTCTGAGTCTGAGAACGATAAGCATGCTTGAAATTTTTATGACTGCAAGGCCTAGGGCCCAGTATTTTTGAAGACTGTGCATTTCGAACTTGATTGTTTCAAAAGCTTGAATCCCAAAAATATCTAAAACAAGTAATATTTTTATTTAAATGCTCCATCCCAACAGCCCATATGTAGTATGTTCTGAGCTAGCTGTAATGTTATATTTACTGTCAGAAATATACCTAACACTGAACTGTAACGAAGATCTCCCTTAATGCAGTTGTCTCCATTGTTAAAAAATATCATTCAGATTTGTATTCATTTTTTTGGAGATCTGTATAAAAAAGAAGTTTCTACATTCCAGAACAAGTATTCTATGACTTTTTATGACATAAAATAAACAGGATATTAATTCATACCTTCATTGCTTTAATCATTCCTTCTTCTTCTGATGTGATTTCTATTTTAGACTGAGATGTGTCTTCTTTGCCAAATTTAGAAGCCTGGATCATTTTTCCATTGTCATACTGTATCTGGCTGACATTAACCTTTAAAAATGTCAAATTATCAATAACAAATGTAAATAAAAATCATTAAAGAGTAATAAATTTTAGTAATCTTTATTTTTTGCATTCAAAATTTTTTATCTGTTGTTTCCGACTCACACATATGAAAACAATAGACCCTCCCTCACAAAGTGCTGAAACGGAAAAAAATAAATTGGTACATGTAGTTACACTGAATCTAAACTTGGTTCTTAGGAAATGCAGACAGTTGTTCTTTAGCATACTTGCATATCATCAGGAAAAGACCTATAGATATCAACTATCACTATACAACATATAGTGAGTTTCATGCTCAATGTAACATAAAAAGTAACAACTATATGATGTCAGATGATAATGATGGATTTATCTTTTATGTCCAGTTGCAAATATTACATTCATATGTTTAGAACATGTTAATGTGATATGAATATGAACCCTGCTATGTAATAAACCAACAGAGATTGATAACACCAAACTCTCAATAGATGAAAAACATGAAGAGACTTTAACAGCCAGATTCATAATTTAGGGCAGCCACAGAAAAATGTAGTTATCTTAACATGCCATATTGTATTTAAGGTAAGTCATTTGAATACCACGGCGCATGTAACTTGCGCAACTACGATCCGCAAGTTGGTCTAAGATGTTGAAATATTATTTGTGGATTCATTTAAGGAAATATGTTTTTTTATTAAAGAAACGATTTATTTTTTTTAAGGATGATCAAAAATTTTATCATTAATATATAAAGACCTATTTCCAACGCTTTTTATGTTTACGACTTTCTACCGGAAACCCGCAGCGTCGATAAAAACGCAGTTCTGTAAAATGTATTTTTGAAACGTACAAAGCGTCAAAGGGCAAATTTTCAACCAAAAAACCTATAAGTAAATCTGAGTCATTCCGAAAAAGACCGCATCAGAAAAATAAGACTGAATCAAAATTAGAAAAGAACATGATTTTTGTTTGACTTTAAAAATGTATCAAATACCAGAGGTGATGAAAACATTATTTATGACACAACTGATATCCTTCCAGACAATCTCATACCTCTCAACTATTGTAGATTATTCCTCTTTGAAATTAATCTTATTATCCAAGGCCTTGAGTCATGTCTAAATTGTTTTAACCCTCTCAGTCTCAAATAACTTTCATTATGAAATACCCTAATTTTTTCGAGGTAAAATGCATATTTTCTGCACATTTTGAATACACATTCCTGACCTAGTATGCCTTTATTGATGTATTTGACTTTGTAAACACAAATGATTACTTAGTTGACATTACAAAAACATTGTTATTTTATTTTCAAAATGTACTGTTACTGCATTTGACCTCATCAAAAAGGGTGTTATAAGTGACGTTGATGTGTGAAACGTCGAAATAAACTAACTTGCAGGTACTTGAAAATACTCTAAGTGTTATACAGTCAACGGCTTGTAAAACGATTATAGTTTTATCGATTTGCATAGTGTAAAATGTTATTGATTGCATAAATTCTTTTTCCATACTATCAAAGTCTGATTTCCTGAAATATATTTGATATTTGCTGAAATATATTTAACTTAAAGAAGGTTTTATTATAGAAACAAAATACTTAAAAAAAAAAAAGATATCTACTCTTTTGTAGTAAAAAATCAGAAGTAAAGTGTCGAAGTCTTGAATAGTACCTTATTCTACAATTATATCTCTTCATTAATTGAACGTCGTATCAAAATCATTACACAAGCAACTAAACAATATGCCATGAATTAATAGATTGGCTGCACAATAATTCTTTCCTTTTTTTTTTATCATTTTTGTGATATATCATGTAATATGTTCACGTTCACATATGCCATCAATCCCATATAAGTATTATTATTTTCAGTAAAGTTTAATTATTCTTACTTCGCCATTATTTGAGATTTCATCCGTCTTGTCAGTCGACAGCGAGGAGAACATTTTCAGAACGCAGGTCGTCAGCGTAAAAAAATTAGGTCTTAGCAAACGGTACGTTTACCAAGGCGAGAAAAAAGAAAAAAACATCTACTAAAAAAATACACAAAGCTCGACATAGGATTATGCATGTGATAGGTGATACTTTAAATACTCTTTAATGATGTACACCTCTGAGGAGCCGAAAATTTCTAGAATTAAACTTTTTTTCTTAACCTGATTTTTGGGTTTCTATGACTATAAAAAAATAATTGGTGAAGAAAAAATCATATGGTGGTGCACTTCTTTTTTTGCTACGGCCCTTTGAAAGTACCCAATTTTGATGATTTTCCCATTTTTCATCAATTTTTACCTATATTTGGGCTATTTTCGTGAAAAAAAATCACAGTTTCACAATTAAACTTTTTTTTTTCATACTTTCAATAAAGATGAAGTGGATCAATCTGAATAAATTTAACTTAAAAAAAACTATCGGTAGGTGTTGATATAAGAAAGTTTTATCATATTTTGATGCTTTTTTGTGTCAAATTTACCATGCTGTCAATTTTGTAAATTTGTGATTTTTCTCTGTTTAAAGAACAAAATGCATATTATTTCAACTTCTTTGTTTTAAATGATTGAAAAAATACATATCTAAGAAATTTGAAAAGGAAAAAGTGATATGGGATGTACATGTTTTAGGTAAAATCATTTCTTGTACCCCTCACCCATTTTCTCAAAATTTTGGCTAAAAAGACTGACTTGATTGGTAATAAAATTTGAAAAATTGACTACTCAAAAACTATTCATTGTAAATTCACAATTTTTTTACAGAGTTAAGTTTGATTATAACATTTTTTAAATTCATTGATATTTTCCACTTGTATCACATGTTTTGGAATAATTCCAGAACGAGATTTCAACGAGACTGAAACGTCAGAAGAATACATCCTTAACTGTTTGGATATTTCAAAGAACCATGCCCTACAAATTGACTTTTTTTTCGGCTTTCAATTTAAATTTTCATAAATTTTTTGGGTTGAAAACTGTTAGCAAAAAGAAAGTACATAGCCAAATATCAGATGCATGTGGATAAGAATCTAGGTTTTTTTTTGTTATAGCCTCAACATGGAATTACATGATTTTGCCAACTTAATACAAGTTCTTTCGGTTATTATGAAATGGACATATGTAATTTTAATTTAGATCGACAAAGTTGGGATGTAAGAATGGAATTTATAAAATAATTATGATCATTGAATAGCAAAGAAGAAAATTTTATAGCAAATAAAAGAACTACTGGCATAAAGATCTCCATGTTTTAAATTTTGTAAGGTCTTCCCATAATTTGAACGAAAGAGATAAAATATAAATCATCTAATTAAATCATTGAAACACTGATGCGTTAGTTTTATTTTACGTGTTTGTTAAAAGTTACTAAATCATAAACTCACTTTACTATTTTACGTTTAGGGGTGTGTCTTGTTGTGAACAGGCCTATCTTAATACGGGACAGTTATGAATAAAAGGAGATGCCGGGGGTATACATCAATGAGACAGCAAGCAAACAACAAAACCCCAAACAGACATCTAGAAGACATTTTTTGGTATTAACACTATGTGTCATGCCCTAAATAAGTTTTTCCTCAGTATGGTTAAAATGAAGATCTGTCGTAACTTGCTAACTCCTTTTTTATAAACATAACGTAACCAGAGATCTATAATATTTTAAGATGATTGGGTTTTCATTTTAGCAAATATTGTTCTTTTCTTTAAGATCATACAAGAAAGGGGAGAATATTATATACATACAATTTTCACTTTGTATATTGATTAATTGTGGCTTGCTTAACACCTAATTTGAAACATAATATTTTATAAAATATTTTTATTTGAAATTTCTTTCGTTCAAATGGATCAATTAGAATAATATATTCTCAACAATGGTTACATAGTGAATGTGCTTTAATATTTAACTAATAGACATATAAAGGATGAGGAATTAGTATATGTATAAACCCCTCCCCCTGTGATAGTTATTTAGAGTTTGATATATCGTCATGATATTTTGTTATTTTACAAAAAAGTATCAGGCTGAAGGCCGTACGGTGACCTATAGTTGCTCACTTCTACACCATTTTGTCTCTGATGGAGAGTTGTTTGAATTCTACGGTTAAATTTTATACTGATGTGCCGACTTTTTGTCTAAAGAAGAACAAAAAGTAAATTATGACTTAAATATCTATATTTTGGCCTACACGTACATATTTTTAGAAGTTCTAAAAATGTCATGACATTGAATTTTTGTCGATAATTTTTTTGTTTTTGTGTGGTCTATCATTTCAAAATTTGAAATGTTAACCTTGGTATATTTTAACAACAAAACTTATTGAGAACCAGTTTGTCGAATTAAAATATATATAGATAATTCAGATGATCTGTAACAATTCCATCTTCATGCCTTATATATTATGTACTGTGTTACGATGCTAGATTAAAACTGTCGAGGAAAGATAACACTCGGCCACCGAAAGCTTTATTATTGTAGAGCCTAGGTGGTCGAGTGGTCTAGCGCGTCGGGCATAGTGCAAGGCGATTTGGTGCCACGATATCTCAGTAGCATGAGTTCGAATCCCATTGAGGGAAGAACAAAACATTTGCGAAAGCAAATTTACAGATCTAACATTGTTGGGTTGATGTTTAGACGAATTATATATATATATATATATATATATGTTAAGTCACAGTCTCTGTGGTGTTTAAGATTCTGAATTTAAGATTATTCAAAAATATAGAAACATAACATAAGAAGACTGACATGAAAAAAGGTAAGGAGATGACAACTAGAGAACCACTTGCAAATTTATATGAGACATGAAGAGACTAATACATACATAGCAAGTCCAGTTGACGGGGTCAGAAAGGTTTTTTTACACCTGGATATGATTTGAAATATCTAATTCTACCTGTATGTCAATTTTTATTAAAAGCATAAAATTTGTGATTTAAAAAAAAAAAAAAACTGAGACAGAAAATTTACAAGATCAAATTATTTTTTGCTGTGGAAAATCCAATTTTGATAACATTTTGTAACTTGTATATCAATTCGGTTGAAATTCAAGCACAAAAAAATGTTTCTCAAAATTTGTAATTTTGTATTAAAAAAATGTGTTTTACACAAATTTTGGTCCAGATATCTCAAAATAACTCATGGAGCCTTTCTTCAATAGAATTTTGCACTGTGCGTAAAGATTGTGAAATCAATTATGGCAATACTGACTTATCGGACTACATAAACGTGCTCAAATTTACATGTTTCTCTTCAGTTCTATAATTTCAAAGTGCATGTATTGATTGATTGATTTGGTTGCTATGGAGATATCCTTGGTTACTATGGCCATGATTTTTGTAACAGAAATATGTTACACAAAAGTGTTTCAAATAATAATCAGGACTGAGAGTTGACCTATTCTATTTCTATTTATCATGAGTATTTCTAACAATCTTTTTCAATGTAGATCTGGGGAGAGTTATCTCCCCTTCTTGAAAATTCGAAAAAATCAAGCAGAAGATGAAATATTTCTTTAAAATGCACGGTGACCCTATGTTTTTTTATTATTTTCTTTTAGATCTATATCTTGGCTACAATTTTAATGAAAATAATAAAAATCTATCTCATGGGAATTTTTTCTCAACTAGCAAAAGGTTACAATTGCCCATTTCCCTGTAATATCTATGTAAAAAACCTCGAAAATACGCAATATTTTGGATCAAGATACTGTCCAAACAAGGACGGTGACCCCAACTTTTTATTGTTTTTTTCACAAGAGCATTTCATCAACTGCATTTACACAAAATAAAAAAAAAATCCATCTCAAGAAATATTTAGTGTTGATCCACCTTAAAGCAGGCCAGACAATTGACCAAAAATAAAAACCAGTAAAATGTTACAAATTCAAAACCTACCATTTTGCCATCATTACCAAACAACACCAGTCCATATTTATGCACAATACCAGGCTTACTGGATCCTTTCACTTCTACACTGGTACCCCTTGGCTCAATTCTATCCCACACACGGGAACCAAACAAAGTAACATTCTGAAATAAAACAACATTTTTATTATTATGATTTTTTTCAAATTTTTTTTGATGTCAGATTATTTTGTCAATCTCTCATTATAGCATTACCATGTCCAATGTTGTTTGACAGAGAGAATAGATTTAGTACAGATTAAATGACTAGAAAAACTATTGGTAGAGCTCACAAATTCATACCACCTGCTTTCATTTCTGAAAATCCAGCACATGGTTGAGGGGTGAAAACCTACTTATTTTTACAGACACTTCCAAAGTTAGCCTTTTCTAGAAGACTTCTTGGACATCTATTTTAGCAATTTTGCAATTTTTTTTAATGTATTCTGAAAACAGAAGATAAAGTTGGACAAATTCATGATGATTTTTTTTTGTGTTATTTTTTTAAGTGAGTCATGTAAATAAATTGCTTGTAAAAATTAGTTGGGTCATTTAGTATTTTACTGCTTTCAGGAAAATTCAATAGAATGACACTATGCCAAAGCATGGGTTTGGCTCCAAAATTATTTCATTTATATATCCAAACCGGGTCATTGAGAATATACATATGTACTACAATAACTCTATTTGTTTCAAAAACATAATTAACTTAAATACATTTTTCACTTTTAGCCATAGTTGATTTTGTACATCTCATAAGTTTCAAAGTCTTCGATTATCAATTCAAAATACATACAGGGTATATCAGCTTTTGAATATCAAACACATAATTGAATTATTAAGATTTAATATAACAATAATATTCAATTATACATAAAATATGTTTCCTTAACCAAATGAAACAAACGTTATAGCCTTCACTACTTTTGAAAATTAATGAATAGCCAATGAAACAACTATTTACCAAAAGACTAAAGCACATTTTGAAATTTCGGACCACAATCTGTAATTCAAAATGATTTTCCCAGTTAATTCTATTGCTTAGGCATTCTAACCAACGGCATTTAAACCTGTCCAGTTTTTTAAAGTTTGTTTGTCACAGATATTCACTCTACACTAGCACCATTGATTTTTAATGAATCCCATGACATGAACTTTACCTGTCCATTAACTGTAGCCCATGCTCCGGGAACCTTGTCACATCCTCTTATGAAATTGTGCACATCTTGTGCTGACTGGTCAAATTTGATCTGAAAACAAATACAGTTTGTTTACAATTATTCAAGTTCCCTGACTGATGCATACTTCTAGATTGAATTAAATGCAAGTGTTTTACAATTTAAACAACATGTAACATTGATTTATTCACCAACATTATTGCAACTCATCAGTTTAATTTAAATTTGATAAAGACCTATTCAAATAATTGTTTGCAACATTTAGAACAATATATAGGCATTTTAAACTCAATATAAAAATAGCAATCATTCAGGAAAGATATGGGTTTCATTAAGACATTTGTAGGAAGGCTTAGCAATGACCATTGGGATCTAATTTAGAAATTAAAACAGAGGTTTCTATAAGATAAGTGTATGCGTCCTGGACTTTTAGTAGAAATGACAATATAAATTTCCAAACCTTTTTACAATGTGTTTTTACCAGAAAATTACATTTAAAGCGGTAATCTTGTTTTTCTCTAGATTTCGACTTGTAAGAAATGGGTAATGATGGCTTTCATTCTGCTTTACAATCATTGCATTACAGAACGAAACATATTTAGGCAATATGTTTCATTCAGTCATCTCCCTTTCTCCATAATTGTAGGCAGAATATAAACCATGCACTATTTTAACTAACTTGTGTAAAATTTTAATAAATGGGTTTCAAGACATGTATGGTAATACATATATACACACCATTTTGTAAACTGAATATCGGAGAATATATTATTAATTGTTTGAAATGGACATGGAATGTTCACCTCACAGCACTACAGGCATTATGTTGCATGCACTCACAAAAAGAGGTAGAGATTAGATAATATTTAACCAGTCATTGACTATATGAATTTGGTTGAAATTTGAGCAGTATTTACCTCAAAGATGATAAGGCTCTAAACTCATCTGAAATTTTATCAAGTGATTATCCTACAACTACATTTGTAAGAAGACATAACCCCAAAACATGGCACTAGTCATGAATATGTAAATGGTGATGTAACATAAACAATCCTCTCAATGGAATATGGATTAATTCCTTGTATAAATAAAAGAGAAGTTAAAATTGGACATAACCTGATGAGAGACCTTCTGAGACTTCCATGGGAAACCACCTTTTACAAAGAGTTGTATATTTCCTTCAAAACTTTCTATATAAGTAAGGGGTTAAAAAGGGCATTTTTCTAATCAAATATACCTCTGTAAGTGCTTTTTTGTTCAGCATGGCATCATAGGTAGCTCCCTTCTCTGTCTGTACAATACTTGGTGCTCTGTTTTCGGTAATTAGTCTCACAGCTTCTCCCTGAGAAATAGTAAAAGAAATAACTATTTCAAAAATCAAAACTTGTTTGTTAAATGCAATAAAACTCGATGATGAATATATATTTATAATTAAAAAAAAAAACAATTTCATAATGTCCGTTGACAATTCATATCATTATTTACAAGTGACCAGTAATTACCCAATTCTGCATTTGAAAAGAAAAAATACAGCAGTTTTTCATTCATTCTGTCATGTTTACCACGTACCCGTTTCTTTTACATAATTTTTGAATTTCAGTTTTGCTACTTGATTATTATTTCTTAATCTTACAGTCATTGTAAGTTTCAAAACAAGTCCTTCTTACCATAGCTTTGACTCCTTCTGGATATAAGAACCTATTGTAAATTGAATCTACTGTGTCGTTTGGTGCAACATAACATTTCTTCTGGAGTAAGATTGGTCCTGTATCTAGCCCATCATCTGCCCAAAATACAGAGAAACCTGCTGTGGGATCTCCTTGAATTAATGTCCTATCAACAAAAATTAAATATCAATAATCAAGAAACATAGACCTCATTTGCCTTTGTATCTGGAGAACCAGTACTGTATTTAGCTGCATAAATTTTATTCAAGAAGCAACAGACTGGTTAATGTAGTTTAATGAAAATGAGAGAGTATAATTGTTTGGTGTGTTTGATTATTACATTTCTATAAATTCTCAGCTGATGAATTGGGTCAACACTCAAAAACTAAGCTTGTAGTTCCCCCATGCAAAGATGACCTTATCAGGTTCTATATAGTTTTGTCTTGTCCCTTTATTCTTTATTATATTAATGCCTGTAGTTCCCCAAGTATTCACTATCGAGTGGTTAATTGTCATGAAGTATTTCATGATTTCTGGGTCAAACTGGTCTGCTTGGCTTTATTTTTGTGTTTTCTTGTGCCTGATTTAGATCTTACTTTTAAAAGATAAAATTAACACAAGTGGATATTTTCATGATGTTATCAGCATCAAGAAATCAGCAAAAAATAATCCTCTCAAAAAATTCCCACTTTACAGTATCCAGCTTTCCCTGTCTCTACCTTTGGGTCAGAATGTTACTGATGAAAGTAAATCTAGAAACACTACAGCTCAGATAGATTTAGTCATTTCAACCAGTCCATGGAGGGAGTTGGCACATAGTTGTCTTTTGTGTGCATATTATTCAGTAGATATGCAGTTTCTTTCTCTTATCATATAACTTGCATATACACATGCAGTATATCTAGGAAAAATTAAATCAGCTTTTGATTCAATATTTTTACAAAATACAAGTAGGCAGTAGCAGACTGTCCTCAGTGGGTAGGTAGATATGACATAATCCACATGGACTGTAGTGTACAACAGAAGCTGTATGATTACTTTGATTCATACATTGTGCATATAATATATTTAATTGTTAGATTTCATACCAATTTATGGCTGAAGCTCCTCTGTGTCTTGGTAATATAGAGGGATGATAGATAATAGATTTGCTCTTTGGGAAGTTGATCACATCCATGGGTATAAACTGTGAACAGAATGGTAAAACATTGAGATCTGCCTTTACAGACTTGTATTCCTCCAAGACCTCAGATATAGCCTGTTTCTTTAACTGCCATCGTTTGTATTTATAAACAGGTATGCCATCAGTTGATGCCGCTAATGCTGAAAGATAGAAGATAATATTGTAACAATTATTTTTTTATGATTCAGAACTTTCTGATGTTTAAGGCCTTTAGGCCATAGGATATACAATCTGATAAAAATACTGATCATGTGTGCAATCTCTGCTCACAAGGATCTGACGACCCCGTTTCTACTTTCCATTTAAAGGATATTTTAGGATCCTCTGGTTTTGTTGTATTGGTACACACCTTCAAAAATTAAATGCAGAATGTTGTTGCATCCTTTAAAGCAAAGAATGAGTACTATATAATCAAATTGTGGGATATGAAGTTTACATATATATCTAATCCAGATCAGGCGAATTTTGTCATTTCAGACTGTCCACAATGGAAGTTGTCATAGAGTGTGAAAAAAATTCTAGGTGGCGCCCTGTGCCCATCATTTTTTTTTTTATTTCGTCACATCTAAAGATTCTAACAGCTTAAGAATTTTTTTTAAATGTTTTTTTTGAAAAAAAAAACCTCTTACAAAGTCTGAGGTAAAATGTTAAAATGGCAGGTGTGGGCTTAATGTGGAGGGAAAGTAAATATGACAAAATTCACGAGATGCAGTGTACAAACATTCTTGTGAAAGCTTAATGGAGATAACTGGGTACAAGTTATGACCAAACAAAAGCTGAATAGAACCCCAGTACTGTTATAACTTATACATGTACCCAGTTGTAACTTTCATACACTTTGAAATTACCATTTCCAAGTTATACAATTTTGCTGAGGAATTTTAACCTTATATGAACTTCTGTTTGAAATCAAAATCTGATTTCTTTTTTAAATTGTAAAATATTCTGATGTACTTTTTAACCATTTGTTTACAGACATTGCACTTAACTGATAATGGTTATCAATTTTTGAAAAGGAATAGAGAGAAAAATCAATCATACTTATGGCATATATATATATATATATATAAGTCTAGAGATTTGCACAACGATACTAATATAAGATGGTATTATACGAAGATGTTGTTAATAAATCGTGTTGACAAATATTTCGGCTTAACAAATAGCCTTCTTCGGTGTCAATTATTTTAACAATACTGATAATATGTATAAAAATAGCTCAATAATACAGGTAAGTTTTGGTCTATTGATTTAATCCAAAATCCTGAACATCATAATATAAAACAAAACTCAATACTCAAATATACGTGACTGTGTATATTTACAACCCAAAATGAGTGAAAAATAAAACTTAGTATTTTTTATTGATGCCGTTTGGATGATGTACATTTAGTTCCTTTATCCAAAAGCTTTCCCGAACCTGTCGCTGGGCATCACTCCAGTGAATGTTCTGTTCAATCACTAGGATCTTCATGCGGTTAAAGTCATCAAGTGTGTGACCAGACTGTCTGAAATGCTGAGAAACTGGGAGAAGTGGCTTCTTAGAGATATCACTCCTATGGCCATTGAGGCGTTTGTGGAAAGGCTGCTTTGACTCACCAACATATTGGAGGCCACAAACCGAACATTCTAGAATGTAAATAACATTCATACTTTTGCAGTTAACATTGCAAAATATCTTATAGTTATTTTCGGTTGCCTTACTGTGAAAAGTTGATGAGTGATGCATCTGTAGGCAGCATTTGCAGCGTTTTTCATCACACGAACGACATTCTCCAGAAGTACTTCTATTATCAGACACTTCAGCCCGCACCAGCAGGTTACGCAGACTATTGGGTTGCCTAAAAGCTATCATGGGAGGCTCGGGAAAAATCTTGGATAGTTTGGAATTCTTTTCAACTGTTTTCCAATGCTCACGAATGACACCGAAGCTGTTTTTGAGAGATGGGTGGTAAGTAAGAACACATGGAGTCCTTTTATTTTTCTTTTTATATTTGTATTCTAACAGTTTACTCCTTGGAATAGTTTCCGCTTTCTGAAAGCCTTTTTGGATAGTTTTGTGTTTGTAGCCCCTTCTCTTCAAGCGGGTTTCGAGTTGACGTAGTTGTTTTTTAGTTGTTTCTGAGTTGGAACATATTCGCTTGACTCTGAGTGCCTGACTGTACGGGATGCTCTTAGTACAATGAGCAGGATGGCAACTTTTAGGGGACAGATATTGGTGAGTGTCAGTGTCTGCCTATATTCAAGAGGCTGAACGACAACTTGGCGATGCAAGGTTCTACCAAAAACTAGACTCTGATCCTACAACATCTTTTAGCAGAGAAATAACTGATAGTTTGGTAGAAATGCACAACGATGGTTTCATCGATGAAAAGACTCTAGAATATTTGAAACCAGAAAATCCAAAACCGGGCAGATTTTATCTTTTACCTAAAATTCATAAGGCCAACAACCCAGGAAGACCTATAGTTTCAGCGAACGGTCATCCGACGGAAAAAATATCGGAATTCGTTGACTTCCATCTTCGTCAACATGTTGAGGACTTACCATCTCACATCAAAGATACTACCGATTATCTTAGAAAATTGCAGGCCTTAAATCCACTCCCCTCCGACACGACACTTGTCTCTATGGACGTCACCTCCCTCTACACGAATATTCCACATGCAGATGGCATTGATGCATGTAAAGAAGTTTGGAATTCCCGACCAGTGAAATATCCACCTACTGAATGCCTGGTCAAAATGCTCACGCTGGTACTCAAAAACAACAACTTCACTTTTGATGGAGACCATTATCTGCAAGTTAATGGAACTGCTATGGGCACCAAAATGGCTCCATCATATGCCAACATATTTATGGGCAAATTAGAAAAACAACTCCTTGAATCTTCCATCGAAAAACCGCTTTCCTGGTTTAGATTTATAGATGATGTGGATATGAAATGGAATAAAAGTGACGAGGATTTAGATACATTCATCACTCATGCTAACAACATACATCCAAGTATCAAATTTACTCATGAGAAATCTAAATCCAAAATCACCTTCCTCGATACCTCCAGCTCGCTCACAGATGGCATCATATCCACTGATCTATATTCTAAGCCTACTGACACTCACCAATATCTGTCCCCTAAAAGTTGCCATCCTGCTCATTGTACTAAGAGCATCCCGTACAGTCAGGCACTCAGAGTCAAGCGAATATGTTCCAACTCAGAAACAACTAAAAAACAACTACGTCAACTCGAAACCCGCTTGAAGAGAAGGGGCTACAAACACAAAACTATCCAAAAAGGCTTTCAGAAAGCGGAAACTATTCCAAGGAGTAAACTGTTAGAATACAAATATAAAAAGAAAAATAAAAGGACTCCATGTGTTCTTACTTACCACCCATCTCTCAAAAACAGCTTCGGTGTCATTCGTGAGCATTGGAAAACAGTTGAAAAGAATTCCAAACTATCCAAGATTTTTCCCGAGCCTCCCATGATAGCTTTTAGGCAACCCAATAGTCTGCGTAACCTGCTGGTGCGGGCTGAAGTGTCTGATAATAGAAGTACTTCTGGAGAATGTCGTTCGTGTGATGAAAAACGCTGCAAATGCTGCCTACAGATGCATCACTCATCAACTTTTCACAGTAAGGCAACCGAAAATAACTATAAGATATTTTGCAATGTTAACTGCAAAAGTATGAATGTTATTTACATTCTAGAATGTTCGGTTTGTGGCCTCCAATATGTTGGTGAGTCAAAGCAGCCTTTCCACAAACGCCTCAATGGCCATAGGAGTGATATCTCTAAGAAGCCACTTCTCCCAGTTTCTCAGCATTTCAGACAGTCTGGTCACACACTTGATGACTTTAACCGCATGAAGATCCTAGTGATTGAACAGAACATTCACTGGAGTGATGCCCAGCGACAGGTTCGGGAAAGCTTTTGGATAAAGGAACTAAATGTACATCATCCAAACGGCATCAATAAAAAATACTAAGTTTTATTTTTCACTCATTTTGGGTTGTAAATATACACAGTCACGTATATTTGAGTATTGAGTTTTGTTTTATATTATGATGTTCAGGATTTTGGATTAAATCAATAGACCAAAACTTACCTGTATTATTGAGCTATTTTTATACATATTATCAGTATTGTTAAAATAATTGACACCGAAGAAGGCTATTTGTTAAGCCGAAATATTTGTCAACACGATTTATTAACAACATCTTCGTATAATACCATCTTATATTAGTATCGTTGTGCAAATCTCTAGACTTATATAATTTTTTCCTTATCTGCACAGTATCGTCTATTCTAGACGATCCGGTACATAGTAAATTTGCTGGTTGGTCCTTTTTATAGACTTCTATATATATATATATATATATATGCATATGTAATACCAATGAGTATAAATAAATCTGTTTTTTACCCAATGGATCAGGTTTTCCATTGACATCAGGTACAGTAAACACTCCTACAATATGGTGGCCATCTTTCTGGAGGAGTCTGTAAACATCCGCTCCAAACATACTTTGTCCAATTATTGCAATCCTCATTTTGTCGTACCATGTCTACAATCAAGAACGTATTCATTTATTTTAGATAGAAAACAAACTAGAGGCTCCAAAGAGCCTGTGTGGCAAACCTAGGTCTATGTGCATAATCAACAATGGACTCTCTCCAACATTGTAGACAAGAATAGAATTCATGACAAAAATTTCTTGTTTGTTGATCTTGTTTTGCTGATCATTTTGTCTGTTTAGTTTCTCTCCATCTTCTTTAGTTTTTGCTCAAAACACAAAAGAGGGTAAAAAAATCCTCATTTAGGGGCAATCACTCCTATACAGAGTGACAGTCTTCTAACTATATCAGCAAAATTTGACTTGTTTGTGGATCTTGCCTTGCTGATCATTTTTGTAATTTAAAAGTTTCTATTTATCTATTATAATTTTTATCATAAATAAGACAAAATGCAAAAAAATGGTAAAAATTGTCATTAAAGGGCAATAACTCCAATAAGGAGTCGCCAGAAAATTTCCTCCATATGTTTTAAATGTAGATCTTGTCTTGCTGATCATTCTTGCTTAATTAAGTTTCTATCTATCTATTATTTTTTTTAAGATATAAGGCAAAAGCGCAAAATATTGGTAAAAATCGTCATCAAAGGGCAATATCTCTAATTAGGAGATGACTGACAATTTTGAGCATGCTTACTATACTTACTCGTAGATCTTGTCCTGCTGATCAGTTTTGAAACTTAAAAAGTTTCTCTCTATCTATGATAGTTTTCAAGATAAAAGGCAAAAATGAAAAAAAAATGGTAAAATTTGTCATTTAAGGGCAATAACTCCTATAAGAAGTCGCCTGACAGTTTTGACATCAAAAACAATTGGTAGAGCTCAACATTTTGAACATTTTTGCCCTTGTCAGAATTCCTTTTTTTATATCGGTTTTCAAAATAATAGACAAAACTTGCATTTTACCCCATATGTTCTATTTTTAGCCATGTCGGCCATCTTTGTTGGCAGGAGGGGTCATCAGACACATTTTTTAAACTACAAATAAAAAATGTAAATACCACACGTATGATTGTGGCCAAGTTTGGTTAAATTTGACCTAGTAGTTTCAGAGGAGAAGATTTTTGTAAAAGTTAACAACAACGACGACGAGTGATGAGAACAGCTCACTTGACCCATTGGGCCAGGTGAGCTAAAAAGATAGTTTGATATGGCTGTTTGTTTTCCCTTTTAATTTGAACCATACTAGTAAAACAACAAATTTTGTTGTTTTATTTTGTTGTTCAGGCTTTTCTTATGAGATTTCCTAACCCTCAATGACAAATGAACAACATCTTTGTCTTCAGTAATGAAATTGGTAATTTATGGTTTTCTTTACATTAAGATTGAATGTTTATATACGGCTTTCACTTTCTGGTACCTGAAATCAAGGCCAAAAAGCTATTCAAAAAATTCCATGTAAACATCTGATATGACTTTACATTTAGAAAATATCATATAAAGTTATAAAGGGACATAACTGAACGACGATAAAAGTGACGCTACCCAAATTTGTTATTGATCTGAGTTTTGTAGTAATAAGCATTGTGTATAAGTTTCATAACATTTGGTTGAGGCAAACTAAAGTTAGAGAATGGAAACAAAAAATTCAGCAATTTTTCCATTTGTAAAGGGGCATAACTCTAGAACAGTTAAAGTGACACCTACAAAATTCAAACTTGGTCTGTATTTTGCAGTAATAAGCATTGTGTATAAGTTTCATAACATTTGGTTGAGGCAAACTAAAGTTAGAGAACGGAAATGAAAAATTCAGCAATTTTTTCATTTGTAAAGGGGCATAACTCTACAACGGTTTAAGTGACGCCACCAAAATTCAAATTTAATCTGTGTTTTGTGGTAATAAGCATTGTGTATAAGTTTCATAACATTTGGTTGAGGCAAACTAAAGTTAGAGAACGAAAACGAAAAATTCAGCAATTTTTCCATTTGTAAAGGGGCATAACTCTACAATGGTTTAAGTGACGCCACCAAAATTCAAACTTGATCTGTGTTTTGTGGTAATAAGCATTGTGTATAAGTTTCATAAAATTTGGTTGAGGAAACTTAAGTTAGAGAACGGAAACCAACTTTGGGACATACGGACGAACAAGGGTAAAACTTAATGCCCCCTCCGCTACGGCAGGCAACTAAAAACAAAAAAACAAATAATTAGTGTCTGCTGTATTGATAGTGTGATGTGTGCAGTGTGTGGTTTGATGTCTGTGCTTGTCACTCTCACCACTAGATGGCAGTTTGGTGTGAAAAGGAAGCAGCGTGTCTTTAAAGCTCAATATTATAAAGGGGCATAACACTAGAACAGTGAAATTGACAAAACCCAAATTTGAACTTGATCTGTGTTTGGTTGAAAAAAGCATTGTGTACAAGTTACAGAATATTTGGTTGAGGTACAAAGTTAAAGAACAGAAACCAATTTTTGGACGTACAGACCTACAGACGGTCAGGGCAAACCTAAATCCCCCTTCGCCTAGTGGCAGGGGCATGAATAAAAAAGCTATGTACATAAACAATAACGCAGTAAAGTCAAGTTAGAGTATGGACACATCATGATCAAATTAAGCTATTTTTTCCATTTATACAGGGACATAATTTGAGAACGGTGAAAGTGATGCTACCCAAATTCTAACTTGATTTGTGTTTGGTGATAATAACATTGTGTATAGTTTCAGAATATATTGGTTGAGGCAAACTAAAGTTAGAGAACGGAAACCAATTTTGGGAGGTTCTGACCTACAGAGTCAGGGCAAACCTATATGCCCCTTTGCCTAGCGTCTGCGGCATAAATAAAAATCTTTGTTACAGAAACAGTAAAGAAAAATCTTCGTTGCTGCCCTACACGCCAATGGGGTAAAAAAAATCAGTATAATACAAAGAATAGCAAAAAGAATGCCAAGTTATATGTGATAGGGCCAGAAGTGGATATTCTATGAATAGTTTGTCCCCCCTATCCTATGAAAGATATGCATAGAAAGCGTAAAAAAATATAGAAATCCATTATGTTTATAGGGGGTACATTTTTTGTAGTTGAGCAATTTCCATGCTCAACTACCCCTGTAAATATAATGAGATTCTCATAGGGATTTTCTGGAATAGCCCAAGTAATTGCAAAAATCTCAATTAGATTTTTTAAATATATAAATTGAAGAAAAAAATAAAACTCAAACATTCAGACACATGTGCCAAAATAATACACATCATTGAATATCAACCAGTATTGACTGGTATTGATCAGTTAAAACTTAAGGTACTTTTACTGACTTGAAAATATAAACATAAACAAAGTGCTGTCAACCCCCTTTTTCAATTTGCTGCCTCCCTACCCAACTCAGTTGTCTTCAGAGTTTTTTTTCCTTCTTCCTCCAACCCTCGTTTGATGATAAAGCAATGATTATCAATCTGCAACCAATCCCTCCCCCTTTTTTTAGCACCATCGAAGTCATGCCATTTCACACAAGGACTGAAGTCATATTGCAGTATGAATATAATTATTTTTCATCAGCAAACTTTTTATTTGCCTAAACAAATATTGATAAAGAGGTAGTATCGTACTTTTTTCCATAGTCGCATGGAAAATTTTGCACAGCTGATCTGAGGTTGATTGAAAGTCGCATACTTTTTTTTATTATTGTTAAATACGTCCACATTATCACTTATGAAATTTAATCTAGATCTTGACCTTGTATTTCTGTTATCTATCTTACCTGCGATGTTGAAAATAATCGAACTAATTGTCGAGAAGCGAACATATTTATCTCTGAAGTTTACTTAAGATCGTGGCAGGTCTTTCAGGTCAAAAGTCATGACCTATTTTTATTTGGTTTCCGGTTTAAACTGGATTATTCGCCTTATCTCTTACGCAATATTATATGGTACCAGTAAATTACCTTTTATGGACATGCTAACTATGATTGGACTAGGCATGTCGGTAGAACTAGTATGACAGTCAAAGATCAGTCTTAAGATACGTCTATTCTAAATTTTCCTTACTAATATTGTAAATTAAAATTCTCAATATTTTTCAATTGTGTTCAGTTGCTACAGGGAACCAAGGACGTATAACTAATATACGTCCTTGAGGGAACGGACCCCCTTTCCTATCTTATTTTGTGATTTATTTTTTTCCGATCAATATTCTTTTTAACGTACCTGACGACCTGGGACTATTACACTAACATATTTAAATGTATTAGTCCTAGATATTGCACCTGTCCACTTTTGCAAAAAATAGGAGATCCCATGTGTTATAGTAATCTCAGCTTAATTACAGACAAAACAATTTGTAATTTTGTAATTTGACATCATATATTATATATATACGCGTCTTTAATTCAACATAGATAATGGGTTTGGGGGGGGGGGGGGGGGGTCGCTAATTGTATAGAAAACAACGGTCGCATTATATATATCAACAGATGAGACCTTTAGTGAAAAAAGTAAACTTTACGGAAACCAAGGATTTGTATAATAGTACGTATTACTAAACAAATCCTTGAATAAACGTAGGTGGAAAAAAAATGAAAAAAAGAAGGAGCAATTTGGCCGCTGGCGCTATTATATTAACCCGTATAGTATCCTCGTGTATTGTATTTTCGACCTACTAACATATTTCTCCGAATTTCCCTTTTATATGTTTGAACATAGACATGCCTAATATTTTGAGAGTCACTAGTATACTTGTGCATAAAATAATTGTATCTGAAATATATTCGATCTTAAATTATTTTTTTATTTGAGTTCATTAGATCGATGGCACGTTTGTTGACAAAAACTAGCGTCTTGTGTTTTCGACCTATCTAAGAAACTGGTCCAAAGTCGGAAATGACATGTCGTACAAATACGGAATTGGTTAAAATTTGATGCCAATGTCTATATCAAATTATTTAAATTGCTAGGAGGCGATCAAACTTATGACTTAATGAATTAAATGGTTACATATACAACTTTAAGATAAAAAATATTATTTTGATATCTTTATTTGACTAGTTGTACACATTTCACATGAGGCACTTTGGAAGCAAGTTTGATCTTGTATACAGTAATTTTTTTGTTCAATACTTTAGTGAAGGCATTGTGGAGTGAGTATTGTCTGTAATTTCCACTGACAGACTGTTGTTTCTGTAAATTAAAATTAATCGATATTTTATTTTTTTAGTAAAAAGCTGTAAGGATCATGCAGATTTCCGTATTAACTGAAATAACTTTAAGTATTACAACTAACCACCTGACAGTCATATGACTTAATGACCTGGATGTAAACTTCACGTGCAAAAAGTCCCCCTGCCATATTTTTAGAATATTTGTTTATTTTTTATAGATTCTTTTTGAAGGTAAAAATAGTATTAGTAAAAGGGTACAAAAATGTGATATCAAATAATAAAACGTAAATACTTAATTACATTAACTTTACTTGGAACATCTTAACCACCACGTGGTATTATTTGATATTGTTACTAATTATAGCAGCCGAGTATGACGTCACGCGGACATGCGCAGCATACGGGAAGTGAATGTAGAATTAGGTCGAAAACGTAAGACGGTCGAAAACACAATACGAGACGATAATACCAGAATTTGGGTACCCTTACGTTAACTTGTTTCACTTATTTAATGTGTTAATTACTGCTCTTATCCGGCATACCAGACAAATATTTTATTAGCAGAAACTCATTTACAATAAATGGTTAAGACCTATTGCATTTATAATTATATTAATTGACATGATAAAACAAAAAGTTACATATCAATATAACATATTATTACACTATTTCTTATATATTTAGACACTCTGATATGAAAGAGGAAGACAGTCTAAGCATGGAAGTAATATTTAAATATTACTTCCATGGTCTAAGTAATAATACTGTGCTATTGTTTACCAATAGAGATATGTTTTCATTAGTGTTAATGTTTCGCTGTATTTTAAATAGAATATTTATTTTATCTTAATATTTATTACATTGTAATAAGAAATGTTGTTCATCTTCAATTTCCCCATGCATGTATTACATGTATCTGTCCACACTATATTATAATAACAGTAGTTAATTTATGATGCCCCTTTATTCTTATTTTTTAAATTCCACGTGTTCTTATAATGCTAGTTATATGTTCAGTAGCGGATTTACCGGAGGGCACAGGGGGCACTTGCCCCCTATATAGTCGGAATCACCAAAATAGTTTTTAACATAATTTTATTGCTACTGAATCTGATTATCTAGAGCGGAATTTTAGTCAAAGCTTGATTTGACTTCTGAAACTAGCCGTTAATTAACCCCAGCAATATTATTGCTACTGAATCTGATTATCTAGAGCGGAAATTTGTTCACAGCTTGATTTGACCATGGAAGTATTATATTGACAGGAACTCCAACAAGCGGACTTCAAACGTTTATAGTGCGATGCCGCAAAATCGTTAAGTATTTGTTAATTTACTCGACATGTCATATGGATGCATGGGTTCCGATCAAATTTTTGGAACCTCGTGATTGATCGTAATTACAAAACATACCGAAATAACAGGATGTGTACCTAATTGTCAAGGAAACGACATTAACCGGCCATGTCAGTTTTTCCGGTTTTACTGCGTAAAAACAAATACAAAGAAACGAAATCCCCGTGACTGTTTTCACAACAACAACAAAAAAACAACAAAAAAACCAAATTTCTTTAAATGCCGATCCAGAATTAATAAATGCCATTCGTAAAAAAAATCTGTCAGACGTCAGAGTAATCTCGGACTAGGTTGAATGTTTAAGGTTTGTTTACAACTTTGGACTTATTATAAAAGGTGTAACAATTTATCTGTCTCGTAACCTGATATTGCTATGTAGAGGTCATCACGTGCGTGTAATTATAAAGCTCTTTTAGTCTTTAAAACATATTTGTTTAATACGTACGTTAATAACATTTTTCAAATTGAGACGATAGAGAAAACAATAAATTTTTTTGTAACATTCGATAAAAATTAACAACCTTAAAACTTAAATTTAAGCTATCCGGCAGCATCCGGCACACTACACGTGCATCACATTGTTTTCTGCAAACACCCGACTTTAAGTACATGTAATTTTTTATATCGGATATTTCCCGATTTCCAAGTTTCAATGATTAAAACATATTAAACAAAACTAAAAATAAGCTTGCCCTCTTTCAGAATGCAGTTAATTTTCTTATGTCATTCTGTTAAATATGGACCGATTTTTTCGATCTTTCCAGCTTTTGTCTTTATTTATTGAACGGAAACAGGTGTCGTTATTACTTTGGCGATTCGCAAATAACCACGGGAGTTTCCGTGTTTATTTACATTGGTAGGTAGATAAGACACTCGATACCAAATCACGTGATAAGACCAGCTTCAGTTAACAGAACAGGCGAAGGCGGCATCGCAGATACCCCACAAAGGAGTTATCACGTACTTGACAAACTGAGTCGGAACCTTTTATTTTCTTCAAGAAATCAGTGGGATGGGAATGTGCTAATTTTTCGTTGGAGTTCCTGTCAATATAATACTTCCATGATTTGACCAAAGATTTGTATAGTACTATACAAATCCTTGATTTGACTTCTGAAACTAGCCGTTAATTAACCACAGCTACAACATGCGTGATTAATGACAACTTATCGATGGGTGTGTAAATCTTGACATCTGTGTGTAATGTCTTGTGTAACTCTATACGCGTACATTCTGATTGGAATACGAATATTCTTATTGGTTTCTATATAATACAATCTTGCCAGATTTTAAGATCGATTAACATGTAAAAAAAATATGCTTATCAGGAAAAAAAATAAGAACTAAAATCGGTCTTTAAAGAATAGGTACAAAAAGATGTTAAGTGTGAAGAGTATGGGATATGTCTTTATAACAAAACACTCTAAATGTTTTTTTTCTTTCTCGGAACAGTTTTTTTTTTCGGATTTTTTGTTCATGCACTGATTGCTTTATGTATACAAAATAATGCTTCCTTTTTTATCGTATTGTATATATTTGTATGCATAAGGCGAGACGTAAATAAATTATTGAATTGAATTGAAATTGTTTTCTCAGCTAGACCTAATTAAGAATTTAATTAATTCCCAAACAAGTTGTCGTAGATTTTTGTATGCCGAGTTTGATTCTTAATCCGCAATTTGTGTGTACCAATTCCGAGAATATAAGTTTTGATTGGTCGAAAGAGACACACCTCCAGGACAACAAATATATGGAACCATTTGAGTACTAAAATCTGGGAATAAAACAATACATTATGTCCCAGCTAAAATTTATATTAGTCAGGTTGATACGTTTATTTTCCTGAGACCTCTTTTCTAACCCACTCTATATGTTTGCGCATTATAACTTATGAATGCAACGGTAGAAACCGTGACTAAGACGATCATTGAAGAATAGACTGGATCAGCTATATATAGAATGCATTATGATATGATCCGAATGTGAAATATCTGTATCTGATGAAAAAGTTTGAGAACCTTGAGAAATAATTCGTTGAAAAAAAAATTCCGTAAATTGCTTTGTTGTATGAGCAATAAGTCCAATAAGCATATTGTCACAATGTTATATGAACATCTAGAACAACACACCATCCTATCGACAACTTTAGATTTAATTAATGCATGTAAAAAAGTATTATCAATATAGACAGGTTGTAACCTTAGTCCTAGTTAGCGAAACTACCATTACAAAATAGCGTTTGCTCAACACGATTAACATGCACAGATATACTTGTTTCTAAATCTTCTTATTTCACTAAATCTCTAAATAAAACAAGACAAAACTTACAATGAAATTGTCCTATTTAAGTAAATGTCCTGGCAAAAGCCTGCACAAAACAACAGTACAAACAGAGGTTAATATATTGTACGGTAAACAATTTATCTATGCGTCCCAATTTTCAACTTTCAACTCTTCTTCGTCACAGCTAGGTTATATATATCATTTATCAGAAGAACAAGGGAGGGAAAACAGAGGTGTACATCCTTTAAGTGTAATAAGTGTACGTTTAATCGCCGGTTTAATTTGTTCTAAGTGTAATCCTATAAAAGCGGTGACGAAAGACACAATGTGGTAATCCCTCAAGATAATGTGGTCATCTATCAAGATATAAACCATGATAATTATCAGCTGTAACAAAAGAAAAGAGTAATACCCTGGCAAAAAACACTTTGAAAAAGGCGACATGTTAATTACATATAAAAAGCTAGAAGAGGGATCATGACTGATCAAACTCTAAGTCGGTGAAAAAGTTTTTTTCAGCATTTTATTTATTTTCATGCATTCAATACAATCAAATATTTGAATGCTTTGTGATTAGCGAAATATGATAACCCAAGACATGACATATGATGTGTACGTATACCTCTTTTTATAGTTTTGTATTATTGCGGAGATATATGTAATTTATTTAGACATGGGCCCTTAATTTATTCTAACGAATAAAACCAAATCAATTAATATTTATTGGTGTGAAATCCAATTGCAGATATGTCACCAAGACATACAAAATCCACCAAGAACAAGCACATACGCAAATATGTAATTAAGAATATACATGCAACAAGTACGATAATAGGTAAATATGTATTACATATAGAATGTCGAAGTAAGGAGATACTATTGTCAAGGTTAAGCACAAACTATGTGCATCCTTAATAAAAACACACGTATAACAGATAATTTTCAGTAAACATGTATAATATTATTCTACTTATCATATTTTAACTGGGACTATTATACTAACGTTAATAGATATAAGAAGATGTGGTATGAGTGCCAATGAGACAACTCTCCATTCAAGTCAAAATTTATAAAAGTAAACCAATATAGGTCAAAGTACGGTCTTCAACACTTAGTATAGTCCCAGATTTTAACGTGTAACATCAGTTTATATTATGTACCCCTGCTCAACTTTTTTTATCATGTGATACAAAGGAGCGACACAAAGTGTAAAATGCATTGTTATGAGCAAATGTATGGGTTAAATGATAAACATAAACTTATTTTTTTTCCAATTACAGAAGTAAAATAATATGATAACAAAAGATGAATAAACAAACAGCATAAAAAGTTCGTGCCTTAAGCGACTTTCAATTGGTTATTTTCAACATTTTTTACACCTACATATCGTAGAGAAAAGATATATCGATAAAATTATTTCACTGAGATACAACGCATCATTTCTCAAAAACGGACACAATATCTGTGACGTTTGTCAATGAAAGTTTATCGCAAGGACACTCCCCCCTCCACCCCACCCCGCCCTTTTGCCTGTGCCACCATTTCCGAATGGGTTCAAGCTGTGAGGTCGTTGATTCAAATTAGAATAAAAAACTTAATGGATCTATGAACACTCATGCTTTAAAGGCCAATGGTTGCAAAGCACATGTACTACCTCGATCGATCCATGACATATACGTTGGTCACCGCAAATTGAAATTATTGTGTGTAAATCACATTACATACAAACTGCTTCATGACAACTCACTTCGAAACTCAACATAATATAATCTCACGACACTTACAAAACAGGAAATCATGAACAATCAAAGGTCTGTTCTATATATGTTCCTTTGGAATTTCAACCAAAGATGGAGATCCTTCACTGTAATGGATACCAAAGTTACATAATGTCATTAAAAACAACGTTATACTGCTTTCCAAATTATTAACATATTTTTTTTTTATCAGCAATCAAAGCTGGGCTTCAGAGTTACTGTGAAACAATTAATCTTCTTTATAAAATCAGATGTGGATACTAAAAAATAAAACACAATATCTTGTTGTAAGAAAGAATAAATTATACTTCGTATATAAAAACTCTGATTCGACCAAAAAAAATCTCTGAAATTGATATCATCAAGATACTTGATTTTTTTATTTACAGCATATTTGATACTTTTGTAGGATGTGTTTTTCAACAAGCAATCCACAATCCTATGGGAGCCCACTGTGCGCCTTTCCTTGCCGACTTGTTCTTTTTCATATTCAACAGACTTCATACAAGAGCTTCTCAGGGAGAATGAAGAGGAGCTAAAATTAAAATTGAGAATGGAAATGGGGAATGTGTCAAAGAGACAACAACCCGACCATAGAGCAGACAACAGCCGAAGGCCACCAATGGGTCTTCAATGCAGCGAGAAACTCCCGCACCCGGAGCTAGGCGTCATTCAGCTGGCCCCTAAACAAATATATATACTAGTTCAGTGATAATGGACGTCATACTAAACTCCAAATTATACACAAGAAACTAAAATTAAAAAGGATACAAGACTAACATAGGCCAGAGGCTCCTGACTTGGGACAGGCGCAAAAATGCGGCGGGGTTAAACATGTTTTATGAGATCTCAACCCTCCCCCTATACCTCTAGCCAATGTAGAAAAACAAACGTACAACAGTACGCACAGTAAAACTCAGTTTAAGGGAAGTCCGAGTCCGATGTCAGAATAGGAAACAAAAGAAAATAAACAAAATGACAATTATACATAAATAACAACAGACTACTAGCAGTTACTGACATGCCAGCTCCAGACCTCAATTAAACTGATTGAAAGATTATGTCTTCATCATATGAATATCAGGCACAATCCCTCCTGTTAGGGGTTTAGTATTATACCGTCATAAAATATATGAGAAGAACATAACCCGTGTCATGCCAACAACTGGTTTTAGAATAAATATGTTTAATTCCGATGCAAAGACCCTATATGTGAATCAATATTAAAGCCAAAATATGCAATCTTTAATGACCTGACAACAGTATCGTAACTATATCCCTTCTTAATAAGTCTGTTTAAAGGTTTCGTTAGCTTTTGAGGTGAATACTGACATTTTTGTGCTTTGTAAAGAATATTACCATAAAAGATTGGATGTGAAATACCCGAACGTATAAGATGTCTGCATGTTGAGTTATATTTACGAATGATGTCCTTATACCGATGATAAAATTTAGTAAATGTTTTGACTAGTTTATGATATCGATAACCCTGGTGTAATAATTTTTCAGTAATATATAAATTTCTCTCGCTAAAATCTAATACGTTGTTACATACACGAGCGAATCGTACAAGTTGAGATATATAAACACCATAAGATGGTGACAAGGGAACGTCACCATCTGAAAATGGATAGTTAACGATAGGAAATGAAAAATCATCTCTTTTATCATAAATAGCATTGTTCTAAACTTCACGTTCCGCTATATAGATACATGATGTTCTCTCACTGAATAATTGAATATTTGGACGACTGTATTGAACGCAGCTATCCCATTGAACTTGAAATGAAGAATACCGCATATGCAGTTAAGTCTGCCCTATTTCCTGACTTACACCACGAGGGTCGGTTGAGAACAAAGTTTACTATGAATGGGAGTATAAATATTGCAGAAGTGCCTGCATATTGGCTTATATATATTCCCCAATTGATACTATATTCCAGAGTTAGCATTTCCTATTGTGACCTCCTTGATAGAGTGTTGCTGCTTACAAAGAAGCCTTTGAACCAATGGTTACAAACGGTAAAATTGAAGTCATCTCTTCGAAAGTTTTACGGACGCCATCATGAGTTGGTTGACGCTATGGAATATCTGTGTCACAGATTACCACGGATATGTTCCAATTGTCAAAACCACAATCCAGACTTCTTTTTTCAGTTGTGACTTACCCGAATGAGACTCATCACTGGATTTGTAACTACCATGAAAACACAAAGGTTCCACTAGTGGAGCAGGAAGTATAGGAAATTGGAATTAAAAAGTTAGTCTGAAATGTATTTCGGAATGACCAACTTTAAGGATTATAACTTGATATGAGGAATACAAAAGCGAGTATTGAGATAGCTGAGTAAAGAGCCTCACAGTGTAGGACCTTCTACAATGGCGAAGTCAGAACCAAAAACTGTATTTTGTATTTAATCATTGCAATGACTAAACAAAGAAAAGGGTTATAAACAAAAGGTAATGTTATCAAATGACAATGGGATAACAAAACAAGTTACCACAATTTCCTTCTAGACCATCGCCTACAACGTATGACAAGCTCGAATACTACTAAAGGAAAACTACAAAATTTGAATAAGTTATAAAAATATAAGAAAAGTTTACATCCTAAAATAGCAAATGCTGATACATTAATTTTATAAAAAAAAAGCATGATTTTAAACCATGATTAGTGAGATCTAAACCTGCTTTCTTGTTCATTGAATGATTGCCAAAGAGACAACTGTCCACCTAGTTTCAAGTTTTATTGACGAACTACAAGTGTTAAGCTCAACATAGTTATATCTACCAAAATACATCATCAGCACCAGAGTGTCAAAAGCCGACATTACATGGAGAGGCGTATAAGGATTGTGATCATAGATGCTTGATACCAGAAATGGTTGATGCATCTCCAATGAATAAACCTGCCAACATTTCAAGGTGTACTTACACAAAGACAATAAACCCCTACAGCAACAGTTGAGTCTTAACTTCGATTCTACTTCAGGGATCACAATTTTTGTCGTCCAATCTAATTAAGATATAGACCTCTGATTTCGTTAGCCTCATATGAGTGTAAGTGCACGCGATTTGATATATTATATAACGTTTAATACCACATGGAATAGAGCTATGTATATTTATCAATTATGGACTTTTGACGAGGTAAATACGTTATATATGGACCTGTTCAAATTATATTGACCGAGTACGAAGTCCGAGTGTCAATATAATCTATCAGGTCCATATATAAAGTATTGATTGAGCGAACGTCCTTAATTTACATATTACATGTACATATGTAAATAGTGTATTCTGGAAATGGACTTCAATGGATAAATACCCTGCCACGTCCGGTCTGTGTTTTTCTTTGATGTTTTCTGCTTGTATCGATCTGATGAGTTCAGCCTTTTTCAACTGATTTTTATATTTTGTTCTTATGTTGTGCTGTTACACCACTGTCCCAGGTTAGGGGGAGGAGGGGTTGAGCGCTCACAAACATGTTTAACCCCGCCACATTCTTTATGTGCCTGTCCCAAATCAGGAGCCTGTAATTCAGTGGTTGTCGTTGGTTCATGTCTGTCATATTTGTTTTTTGTAAATTGTTTTTGTTATAAATTAGGCCATTGGTTTTTTTCTGTTGAATTGTTTCATATTTTTCATGTCGGGGCCTTTTATAGCCGAATATACGGTGTGGGTTTTTCTCATTTACTGCACCAGCTGAGCATTTTGACAACCAATGTCTCTTCAGTGATGCCGGAGTCCAAAATATTTGAAAATCCAAAACTTTATTCAAACATTGAAGAGCAGATAAAACTATAAGTTGGTAAAGCCAAATTCTGACAAGGAATCAGAGATATGCAAAATTTTATAACAGCTTTCACTTAAGCAATGCCTGTTTTTAATGCCAGTGCAGAAGTCCTAGCTACTGGGGATGGTGATAACCTTGGGGACTAAGGGAGCAACCATTTAACTTCAAGGGGGTTATGGTTTTTTGTCTGACTCAAAGCGCGAACATTTTTTTTAGTTTTTCAACGCTATCAATCAAATTATTTTTTTCATATTTTAGCACTATAAGGTATGGGAAAAATCTGGATTCAGAATATTTTTTTTTGTCCTCTGCTTGACCACAATATTTTTTTCATCAAATTGGGGATCATAATATTTTTTTAGGAAAAAACCATAACCCCTCCTTGAAGTTCAATGATCGTTCCCGAACAACAAATATAGTGAAAAGTTGTAGATGTGTTTTGTTTTTTCTTGTGTGTTTTTTGTTTAGAGGGGAGGGAGGGGGTATTCACAAAGGTTCACATATTCACAAAGGTTGCCTGTCCAAGGCCTGACTGATATTTTATTAATGGTTTCACTGTCTCCCTATGGTAATTTTTTCCACTTATAACTTGGTGTTCGATTTTAGATCTTTAATTGTCTCTTAATTTCATTCACAACTTATCTCAACTAATGATAATTTTGAATATGCAAAATTATGTTGTAGACAATGGGTTATTCTTAAAGACCTATTACATGTATTATTAATGGTGACATCTACATTTCTATAGTTGATAAATTTAGGTTGTTTGGTTGTTACTCATTAAAATTTAACTTATATGTATCTGGGAGTCCATCTATTCATATTGGTTTTGGGCTCTGTGAAATGATAAAAGACACATATATGGTTTTAGTTTTTAAAGAAACTTCAACATTTAAATTACAAAACTATAGTAAATTTGAATAACTAAAAAATTACACTGCTCTTGTGCAAACAAAATAATAGTCAAAAATAAAAGTACACAAATAAAAGTACACATAACAGACTTGGTCACGTATGTCTTTTGCACATTTTTGCACAATTAACATTGCAGTAAATTGGAATGATTTTTTTTTAACTTCTCATCTGATTTTTCAGCTGTTTTATTTTTTACCTATATGAAATTAATTCCAAATAATTGTATATTTCATACATTTGTTTTTGTTTTTAAATTACTGTGATCTCAAATCAGACTGCAAGTTAGATAATATTCTTAGGAATAACCCACCATCAGTTTTTTTCCCCTTCCCCTGAATAATACATTCTGAATATCAATAACTACTGACAATAACTAATTCTAGCAGAGGTGCTGTATAAAGTTTAAATTCTATGGTTGATGATTTATCAAGATTTAGCCTTGTCCTCAGCATTGGAATCTAAATTCTTTTCCTGAGATCCATTTAATTGTTGTAATTCTAATCGTGTTTCTCTGCTAGATTGCAGCAATTCTTGTAGTTGAGAGTACAGTGAATCATTTTTACTTTCTATATTGGTCATCCATGAGTCAAGTTCATCCAGTGTGTTGTTTAGATGTTCATATTCTGAAAATATAGTTTAGAAATAGTCATAAAGAGGTAAAGAATATTGAATTTTAAATCATTATATAGTTTTCAATATGATGTAATTTTAATAGTTTTAGTCACATTTGTATTTCCCTTGGTTCCCATATTGGAGGACACACAAGTAAAACTAGGTGATTTTTTCTTATTTGACTAACCAAATTATTGTACATGTTGTACAAGCAAGTTTGAGAAGAGATCTGTACTAGATTGTAGGATGAATTATGCATGGCTGGAAGAAATCAAATTCAGAAAACAACATTTTCTAAAGTCTAGTGGTCAGTATAATTTACTATAAGGCAGTAGTGGCTATTAAGTATTGTGTCGGCTCTAGGTAAGGAAAAGCCAATTTTGCTAGTAAAAAAAACGATTTTGTTTACAAATATGGATTTACAGATCTGACTATTATTTTAAATGCAAATTTCTGGGAACAATATATATGTTTCTGCAAATTTATTTTAATTTTTGATTTTGAAGCTATGGGATTGATTTTGTTAGCTTGTTTAATGTTTTATCAAATTTATATGCAATATGATATTTAACTTTATTTTTTTACAACATACAGTTAAATTACAATGTTTTTGTGAAATCATCAAGAGATCTCATTCTTATGCATGCATGTTGCATTAGACTGTGACTGATTTTAGAAGTTATTTCAACTACATGTTTTGATATGATTTCATTGCTACAAATGGATGCTAAATATTTTTAATTTCTTCTTACAAATTCTTATTTTTACTTGGACTCATAAATTTTTGTAAACGATAATATGTACATGTAACTCAAATAATGTTACTGTATCAGTGTTCCAGCTTGAATCTCAGGGCAGAAGGGTGCTAGTTGTCTGAGGTTTTTCAGGTGTACATCCTGTACATAAACAAATGGATAACATGTGGACATTTTCATTCTGTATTAAATATCTAGGATTTGTTTAATTATCTTAAATCCCCTAATTAGCAGTAAACAATCATTAACAGAGGTGATAAAACTGCCTAAGGCAAGGTATTTAACTTTATCCCATTGTCAGTTAATTAGAGTGTTACACAATCAGGTAACAATTTTACCGGAAGAAATGCTGATAGGCATGAAATTTTGAAATTTTATTTTTGAAAAGGCAGAGGGGTGCACTTTTTTTAGCTTTTGAGGGCAGAAGGGTGGGGGTAAGGGCACCAAGGGCGGACCACCCTTCTATTTAGGGCCAAAGCATTTGACAAAGTCCCTCACAAAAGACTACTTTATAAACTTAAACACTATGGTGTAGACAACAAAACATTGAATTGGATAGAAGACTTTCTCTCATTTCCCACACAAACGGTATTACTGGAAGGCACCAAATCTGAACAAATACATGTCACATCAAGAGTACTGCAAGGGACGGAACTAGGTCCTATCCTATTCCAGGTGTACATAAACGATCTGAATGAATATATTAAACATGGCACTCTTAGACTTTTCGCAGATGACAGCATTATTTACAAATCCATAAAAAATAAACATGACTCAGAAAAATTACAAGAAGACCGAACAGCAGCAGCAAAGTGGGAAGAGGACTGGCTCATGTCCTCATCCGGATAAGTGTTCAGTCCTCCAATTAACAACAAAGAAAACCCCTCTCCCATATGATTACATCTTACATGGGCACACTTTGCAACAAGAAACATCTACTAAATATCTTGGCTTTACAATACAAACTGATTTAAAGTTTAACAAAACACATAAATAACATCACAGCAAATGCAACTAAACAACTTAATTTTATCAAAAGAAACATTAAAGTCAGCTCACAGTCAGTTAAAGAAAAGGCCTACATGTACATCTCACTTGTGAGACCAAAGCTAGAGTATGGTAGCTGCATCTAAGGACCCACATACAAAATCACAAAAATCACAAATAGAAATGGTCTAAAGACGTGCAGCCAGGTATACATGCAATCGCTACCATAACACCAAATCTGTGACAAACATGCTTAACCATCTCAACTGGCCAACACTTGAACTTGATGAATAAGAACAAGACTTATATTTTTCATCAAAATTATACACCACCAAGTAGCAATATACCCGATGAACTTGTTAATGAACCATCAGACAGTCGAACAAGACAATACACTCACAGTCACTCATTCAGGCACGTATAGGCAAAAAAAGACTCAAACACATGTATAAACTTTCATTCTATCCAAGGACAATCATCCAATGGAACCTTTTACCAGTTACTGCTGTCCAATGCACCACAGTTGAAGCCTTCAGAGAACAGATTCCTACATCTGTTCTCAACCAACACTTAATCAGCACCTTATAAGAAACATTTATGCCATGTTTTGGTTTCATTCCATTCAGTGCACCTCTAGAAGAAGCATTTGTATGTATTTCCCATAGGGTCTTATGTTAAAGGAAGTCCCCCCATTGGCGACCATCATGGATGAAGGATCAGCTTCAAAGTAACAAAACTTAGTCAGCACCTCATAAGGAACATTCATGCCATGTTTGGTTTCAATCCATTCAGTATGTGGTTCTCTAAAAGAAGACATTTGTATGTATTGTCCATAGGGTCCTTTGTTAAACATTGTCCCCATCTGTCAGCCATCATGGATGAAGGATCAGCTTCAAAGGTAACAACACTTGGTCAGCACCTCAAAAGGAACATGCATGCCATGTTTGGTTTCATTCCATTCAATGGTTCTCTAAAAGAAAACATTTGTATGTATTTCTCATAGGGTCCTATGTTAAACTAAGTCCTCCGCTGGCGGCCATCTTGGATTATTGATCGGCTTCATAGTAACAACACTTGGTCAGCACCTCATAAGGAACATTCATGCCATGTTTGGTTTCATTGCATTCAGTGGTTCTCTAAAAGAAGACATTTGTATGTATTTCCCATAGGGTCCTATGTTAAACTAAGTCCCCTGCAGGCGGCCATCTTGGATTATGGATCGGCTTCAAAGTAACAACACTCGGTCAGCACCTCATAAGAAACATTCATGCCATGTTTGGTTTCATTCCATTCAGTGGTTCTCTAAAAGAAGACATTTGTATGTATTTCCCATAGGGTCCCATGTTAAACTAAGTCCCCTGCTGGCGGCCATCTTGGATTATGGATCAGCTTCATAGTAACAACACTCGGTCAGCAACTCATAAGGAACATTCATGCCATGTTTGGTTTCATTCCATTCAGTGGTTCTCTAAAAGAAGACATTTGTATGTATTTCCCATTGGGTCCCATGTTAAACTAAGTCCCCCGCTGGCGGCCATCTTGGATTATGGATTGGCTTCAAAGAAACAACACTCGGTCAGGACCTCATAAGGAACATTCATACCATGTTTGGTTTCATTCCATTCAGTGGTTCTCTAAAAGAAGACATTTGTATGTATTTCCCATAGGGTCCCATGTTAAACTAAGTCCCCCGCTGGCGGCCATCTTGGATTATGGATCGGCTTCAAAGTAACAACACTCGGTCAGCACCTCATAAGGAACATTCATACCATGTTTGGTTTCATTCCATTCAGTGGTTCTCTAAAAGAAGACATTTGTATGTATTTCCCATAGGGTCCTATGTTAAACTAAGTCCCCCGCTGGCGGCCATCTTAGATTATGGATCGGCTTCAAATAACAACACTCGGTCAGCACCTCATAAGAAACATTCATGCCATGTTTGGTTTCATTCCATTCAGTGGTTCTCTAAAAGAAGACATTTGTATGTATTTCCCATAGGGTCCTATGTTAAACTAAGTCCCCCGCTGGCGGCCATCTTGGATGATGGATCCGCTACAAAGTAACAACACTTGGTCAGCACCTCATAAGGAACATTCATGCCATGTTTGGTTTCATTCCATTCAGTGGTTCTCTAGAAGAAGTTCAAAATGTATAAAGTTAACGCCGACGACGCTGGACGACGCCAGACAACGGACGCCAAGTGATGAGAAAAGCTCACTTGGCCATTCGGGCCAGGTGAGCTAAAAACAGGTTATTATTTCTTTATTTATTTTTTTATGTAAATATATATTTGTAAATTTTACCCACGCATGTTCGGCACATAGTCATCAATATTATGATGGAGTGCTGAAACTGAAAGAAAGGGCAGGCGGGAACACTGCTGTATGAGTAATACTCCAATACTTAATTGATAGGGGGTGCCGCTGGGGTTCTGTTATCCCACCCTTTTCATATAATTTAATCTTAAAACTGTATGCCCTTTTCATATATTTCGTAGGTAAAAATGTACCCTTTTCCCATATTAGTTGGGTTTCGTGTAGTATGTTCGAAAGTGGAATATTTGAGGCTAAGATTCCTCATGTAATGGTTACTTACAGCGAGACTTTGGGATGTGAAAAAAAAGACAGAGCTTTTCATATCACAAGTAATGGAAACTTTATTGACCTTATCATATATTTCTGATAGTTTTCCCCACCTTTTTGAGTATTTGCATATTTTCAAGCTCGGAAATAAGACCTATTCCAGCAGCACGTCCTATCACCTTGTATATAGGAAGTGGCCCCCCTCGAGATTAGAATTCACTCTTTTCAAAGAACCCGGCAAAATACACCTTATCGCTATTTAGTCCAATCCGGAAAAAACAGTCATTTAGACAACTTCCTGTTTGGGTCAACAGGCCGCAAACAAAGGTCATCAGTAACGAGCTGAGGGAGGGAAAAATTTAGAAAGCGATCAATAGGAAACTTTGATAGATTATGATCCACTTATTCCAAACTCAAATTATAGTAAAAAAAATATTGTGTTTGAAGTATTTACGATGTTTTAAACAGGTCTCATTAAAAAGTATCATGCACGGTGCATTGTTTAAACAGGGTCCCAGATAGTGTCAACTGGATGAAAAAGTTGTGTTATTTTAGAACTTATCCGGAATGGAATAAATAGCGATTAGGTGTATACCTTATCGCTATTTGTCCGCCATTACTGGACATCACACAAGTTCCCGTAAAATTTTGACGTCATAATAGAAAATATCTGACGCCACAATGGAAAAGTGATTGTTGTATGACGTCAAAAGTTCGAGCGGGACTGATTCTCGGGTCAAGCGGGATTAGCGATAAGGTGTATAGCATATCCTATAGTAATCTCAGTTTCTAATTCAAAAATATACCATTTGTTGCATCTTCTACTAAACATTCAATGTCTGCATGAGGGTTTAAGCTCATTTCTTCTAATTCTGCTATAGGATCGTTTGTATCGTCATGTTTGTCATTTTGATCAGATTCAGATTTCCCTAAATCTCCTTCAGCCATTTTGACGTCATGTGATAGTTAAGAAAACTGGTATAATTGTGCTATTATGATCTCCCTTCGTCCCTTAACCAGGACCCAGTAACAGCGTTGAATCGGATCAGAATGCGTTACAAATTATTTTACGCAAATCGTGTCTCAGATGTACGCATTTCCATTCAGCTAAACCGCTATTCAGTGATCATTTATAGTATTATACTTCGTGTGAGTGTCATTTAAGAAAGAAACAAATATAACGACCCAGGTCATAGAGTTCAAATAACATGAATAATACAAAAAGCAAAGTATAAATATTAAATTTTTAGAGCAATAATATCTGAAAACAGAGAAGATAAAACATTTAAACATATTTTTATACGACTGTCAAAATTTTGACGGGACGTATTATGGTATACAAATGCCGTCTGTTCGTCTGTCCGTCTGTCTGTCCGGCGTAAACATGTCGCACCGTAACTTGAAAACGACTTATCCAAATTTCATGAAACTTAACATAGTTGTTTCTTATGATGGTCAAACGATCTGTATACTTTTTTTTGTGAAAATAAGATTAAAACTTTTTGAGTTACGGGACTTAGTAACTAATACAAGAGTGGTTTTTTTTTCACATGTCGCGCCGTTTCTCAAAAACAATTTATGATTATTGCTTAAAACTTTACACACTTCTTAGCTATATTAATCTTAAGATCTGTATATTTTTTGGTGATGATTCAAAATTTTATTTTTGAGTTATTGAGTATTTTGTAAAAAAAGGGGGAGGGGTTTTTCACATGTCGAGCCGTATCTCAAAAACGATTTATGATTATTGCTTTAAATTTTACACACTTCTTAGTTATATTAATCTTAAGATTAGTATACTTTTTGGTGATGATTCAAAATTTTATTTTTGAGTTATTGAGTATTTTGTAAAAAAAAAGGGGGAGGGGTTTTTCACATGTCGCACCGTATCTCAAAAACGATTTATGATTATTGCTTAAAATTTTACACACTTCTTAGTTATATTAATCTAAAGATATGTATACTTTTTGGTTTTGATTCAAAATTTTATTTTAGAGATATTGATTTTTTTTAAAGGGGGGGTTTTCACATTTAGCGCCGTATCTCAAAAACGATTTATGATTATTGCTTAAAACTTTACACACTTCTTAGTTATATTAATCTTAAGATTAGTATACTTTTTGGTGATGATTCAAAATTTGATTTTTGAGTTATTGAGTATTTTGTAAAAAAAAAAAGGGGGAGGGGTTTTTCACATGTCGCACCGTATCTCAAAAACGATTTATGATTATTGCTTAAAATTTTACACACTTCTTAGTTATATTAATCTAAAGATCTGTAAATTTTTTGGTTTTGATTCAAAATTTCATTTTAGAGATATTGATTTTTTTTTTAAAAAGGGGGGGGGGGGTTCACGTGTCGCGCCGTATCTCAAAAACGATTTATGATTATTGCATAAAATTTTACACTCTTCTTACTTATATTAATCTAACGATCTGTATACTTTTTGGGTTTGATTGAAAATTTTATTTTAGAGATATTGAGTTTTTTTGTAAAAAAAGGGGGTTTTTCGCATGTCGCGTCGTATGTCAGAAACTATTTATGATTATTGCATAAAAATTCACACACAAGACGACGGGCGTATCATGCGCTCATGGCGCAGCTGTTTATTCTCTTCTGGTGTCCAATTATATGAATAATATTGTGTAGTAGTAAATAGGAAGTGTGGAAATAGAACAGTATATATGTAGTTCTGTCAAAAATCATAGAATGTAGAAAACTCGTATTATAGTTGTATATATGGAGATAGACCATGAAATCTGGATCTCAAATAAATATAGTTATCTCAAATGTTATATAAAGTAGAGATTGTATACATATTTATACATATACAGGACATATCACCTGGGACTCCTAAAACAGCATATGGCAATGAGTCTCAGATATGATAAGGCTGGGACATAATAATCTGACATTAGTATAATAGCCAATGGTATAACCAAGGATTTTATATACCGGTAGTAGGTCTTACTATCAAAATCCATGATGTCAATGGATACATTCTTTGTTTGGCTTCAACAGTTGGCTTCAACAGCTAATAATCACCGTCATATTTACCGGAAATGCTTAAATGTTCAAGTATAGAAGGTTTTATAATTTTCAATCATGACAAAAAAGTAAACTTTCTTTTTTATTCTCACACACAGAGGCAATGTTTTACAACTCGTTGCTGTATTTCAATAACATTTTTAACCGCACTCATGTGATGCTCATACTAAAAGAGGCTGAAAACAAAATGTTCGTATCATCTGAATGTGACGAGATTTTAGCAATCAGATTCATTTAATTTAATTTTATTATATAGTTAACGTATGTTATAAAAACTTCAACGGGCCTTATACACTCCCTTTGGGACATTCCTTTTAGGGGTATGCAACATCACATGATACATATAAATAAAAAAAAAGCAAAATAGAGGTGGAAAATACAAGAGAACACTAATAATTTAAAAGTCGAAGAAAAACTGAGAACGCCATGGCAAATGATGAGAGGTGATCTCAGACCCTGCTCCGGGGATCCACATCTGTGGCATCCATTATGTTGCTATGGCAAATGATAAGAGATGATCTCAGACCCTGCTCCGGGGATCTACATCTGTGGCACCCATTATGCTGCTAATTGTAAGAACAAATTCGGTGGTAAGTCCCTTTCGGGGATGTCACAATCGAGGAAAAGAGGACGGGATAGTGGTTACAACCACTGGAACATATTCGTGGTCATCTGAATCACAGATATTCCATAACGTTCGGTCAACAAACTCGTGAAGCCGTCCGTAAAGCTTTTAAAGGAATGACTTCAACTTTACTAGTTGGAACCGTTTCTTCAATAAATAGCTTCTTTGTAAGCAGCAATGTATGTAGGGAATCAAGATAGGAAACGCGAGATCTGGACCGGAATATCGTATTAACTGGGATATATATACTCCATACGCAGGCGTTGCTGGAATGTTGCTACATATAATTGGGAAGTTCACAAACATTATTGGGAAGCTGAAATCCAATCTGATAAAAATTCAGATCTATCTTAACTTGCGTGCTCGTATATTATTAGTTACATGCTGTGTTAGTGACCTAAAACGATATATATGGGGTCAGTAAATTCCATATGGGGTGAAAGCGAAGCTCCAATCCCCATATGGAATTTACTGACCCCATATATATCGTATTAGGTCACTCGCACACCGTGTAACGAATTTATCTTACCGACTATCTTCACATGTGGTATTTTGACTAGCGGCCTATCAAAGTGATAAAGTCTTCAATACTTAGTATTAAGATCCTACTTCCATTTGTCTATACAGAAAACAAATGCTAACAATAGCAACTTTTAAGCTTTAAATTTGTTTTATGAATTAATTTCAATCGTTCATTACATGTATTATAAATACTTCGTCTGTTGAATCCTTTCAGATTTCTTTTTTTTTGTCTTGAAAGGGAAGTAACCCCGTTAAGTCAACAATAACAACTTGTTAGCTTTAATTATGTTTTATGAACTTATTTCAACCTTTCATCATCAATTTCTTCGTCTGTTGAATCCTTTCAGATATGTCCTCAACACCGTGTTGTTTTTATGAAGGGTTGTGGCATTATTTTTGTGCTAACCCTATACTTTTTAGGACACCCTATAGGGAAAACGGTACTATTTATTCTGCCATAGACGACAATACTAACATTTTCTAAATTTACCACTTTTTATAATAAAAACCTGGATAAAACAGTTATGTGTGGTGTTAGAACTTTATTATTCTATTTTAAAAATTGAAGCCAAATAGTATCATGACCAATTTCCAACGGAGCTTGTTTATGTTATCCATGCCCACCGTCATTTTACACCAAATTTATGAAATTTTGGAAGCCTTTTCGAATAATTCTCCAGAAAATATTTCAATAGGTTTTAAAATTTATATTGTAAATATACACACTGAAGTTATTCATAGATAAATAAAAAAATATATTGTACCCTTACATCCAATCACAGCGCTGCTAATTTGACTTCCTTCACCTGCCTTGGGTACACAAAAGGCCAATCTAATGCTGGGAAAATGTAAAAGTACCGTTTTCCCTATATGAAATATACATAATCACCACGTGTAGTCCTTTAACCAATCATATCTCTATAAATCTAAAGGAGGTAAGATAAATAAGCATATGAGGATAACGAAATCTATATTCCAATTACATTGCATGGCTGAAATCATCCCTTTTGTCGTATACTTTTGTTCTCAACCGATCCTCATTGTCAATTTTAAGATGTTACTCAAAATATGAGACAGACTGTATCTGAGGTATCCTTTATTTCAGCTTCGATGCGATACATGCATTGAACATAGTCATCAAACAATGCATTATTAAGTAAGAGGAACACATCTACATAACGGAATGTTAAGTTAAAGGATAGCGTTAGCTTTTTTTCGGTCTGAAAATTACACCCAACAGTGTTAGAGTTAGATTTTTATGCTGACAAACTTTTGTCCGTCCCTCAGCGGGATTCGAACTCACACCTTTGATACACTACAGCACCAATCGCTTAGCCTCATGTCCAGCGCTCTAGACCACTCGACCACATCCGCTATATAAAAATATAACTCCAATAGTCGTAGTGTTACCTTGTCACGGAAGGCGAATCTAGAGATAGACATAAGACATGTGTTTTAAGCGTGTGTAGATATTATATTTATATATATATATATCACCACCACACGGCCTTCAACAATTAGCAAAACCCTATAAGAAGCAACAAAGGGACCCGACATAACAAATGTAAAACAATTCAAACTTTAATGTCTGCCTGATATGAACAAAGGGACAAGTCAATACGAAAAGGAGCACCGTTAATTGGTTTCCAAAGGAATGCTGATTTCGTGTTGAAAAACATGGTCTCCTAAAGTAACAAATATGGTGTCAATAAAAAAAAAACCAAGTATATTGATGATGTCCGTTTCAGAGAATTTTTTTATTTGAAGTCTTTTTTTACAAAGTATAATTTATCTCT